AGAGATCCATACACTTGAACACAAGTTATTGTCTAGAAACTAAAAAATGCTTATTTTAAACCCCTTTTTAGGCCCCTTATTACTTAACGTTTTGGGCAATTACCACAACACTCAATTCCAGCTTTCCCTTTGTACAATGGAACCTTGTAGTAAAATTTCAGAAAGATCCATACACTTACACACAAGTTATTGTCATGAAACTAGATAAATGCTTGTTTTTTGCCCCCTTTTGGCCCCTTATTCCTAAAATTTTGAGGCAATTAACCCCAAAATCAATCCCAGCATTGACCCTTTGTGATATGGAATCTTGTGGTACAATGTCAAAGAGATCCATATGCTAACACACAAGTTATGTCTGAAAGTTACAAAAATGCTTATTTTCGGCCCCTTTTTGGCCCCTAATTCCTTAACTGTTGGTACCATAACCCCCAAAATCAATCCCCACCTTCCTATTGTGGTATTGAACCTTATGGTAAAATTTCATAGAGATCCATTCACTTAAACTAAAGTTAGAGTGCGAAAACCATTGTGTATTCGGACGACGACGCCGGACGACGACGACGACGACGACGACGCCAACGTCATACCAATATACGACCTCAAAATTTTTTTGCGGTCGTATAAAAACTGCAAAATTTCCTTAAAATTACCAATTTAGTGGCAGCCACCCAATAATGGGTTGTTAGACTCTGACATCTGAAAATTTTAGGGCTGATAGAACTAACCTAATGAACATTTTTATCCCATGTCAGATTTGCTCTAACTGCTTTGGTTTTTGAGATATAAGCCAAAAACTGCATTTTACCCCTATGTTCTATTTTTAGCCATGGCAGCCATGTTTTTTGACAAAACAGAAAATAAAAACACAAACTTTATTCTAGATACCCTAAGGATCATTCAGCTTAAGTTTGGTTGGAATTGGTTAAGTAGTTTCAGAGGAGAAGATGTTTGAAATAGATTACACCAGACGGACGCCGACGACGGACGACGCTGGACGACAACGGACGCCAAGTGATGGCAAAAGCTCACCGTTCCAAAGGAACAGTGAGCTAAAAAACAAAGTTTTTGTCATGAAGTCTATTCTAGTCCACAATGTTAGAGAGAGTCCATAGACCTAGGTGAGCAACACAGGCTCTTTAGAGCCTCTAGTTTTTATACGACCGCAAAAAAATTTTGCGGTCGTATATTGGTATGATGTTGGCGTCGTCGTCGTCCGAAGACACATAAGTTTTCGCACTCTAACTTTAGTTTAAGTGAATGGATCTCTATGAAATTTTACTACAAGGTTCAATACCACAAAAGGAAGGTGGGGATTGATTTTGGGGGTTATGGTACCAACAGTTAAGGAATTAAGGGCCAAAAAGGTGCCAACAATAAGCATTTTTGTAACTTCCAGACATAACTTGTGTATTAGTGTATGGATCTCTCTGACATTGTACCACAAGGTTCCATATCACAAAGGGAATGCTGGGATTGATTTTGGGGGTAATTGCCTCCAAATTTTAGGAATTAGGGGCCAAAAAGGGGCAAAAAACATGCATTTTTCTAGTTTCATGACAATAACTTGTGTGTAGGTGTATGGATCTCTCTGACATTGTACCACAAGGTTCCATATCACAAAGGGAATGCTGAGATTGATTTTGGGGGTAATTGCCTCCAAATTTTAGGAATTAGGGGCCAAAAAGGGGCAAAAAACAAGCATTTTTCTAGTTTTATGACAATAACTTGTGTGTAAGTGTATGGATCTTTATGAAATTGTACTGCAAGGTTTCATATCACAAAGGGAAAGCTGGAATTGAGTTTGGGGGTAATTGCCCAAAACGTTTAGGAATAAGGGGCCAAAAATAAGCATTTTTCTAGTTTCCAGACAACAACTTGTGTTCAAGTGTATGGATTTCTCTGAAATTGTACTGCAAGGTACCATACCACAAAGGGAAGGCTGGGATTGATTTTTGGGGTAATTGCCTAAAAATTTTAGGAATTAGGGGCCATAAAGGGGCAAAAAAACAAGCATTTTTCTAGTTTCAGGACAATAACTTGTGTGTAAGTGTATTGATCTTTCTGAAATTGTACTACAAGGTTCCATATCACAAAGGGAAAGCTGGGTTTGAGTTTGGGGGTAATTGCCCTAAACGTTTAGGAATTTGGGGCCAAAAAGGGGCCAAAAACAAGCATTTTTCTAGTTTCCATACAAAAACTTGTGTTCAAGTGTATGGATCTCTCTGAAATTGTACTGCAAGGTACCATTCCACAATCTTAGGTCCGAGTACACAGTTATTTCGTAGTGCATTTCTTTTAGACAATAAATGAAAATTAAAAAAATCCCACCTGCGCTTTCTCAATAATATTTTTACAGTGTGTTTTACTACTTTTGGGACAAATTATATCAAAATTATAGAAAACTTCATCGGCTCTAACTCAAAATATGGACAATTTTATGTTAAGGGGGTCTTGAAATCTTTTGACAGCTTCCGAAGTGCTTATTTTTAACCTTTTTCAGCTGGACCAAATCACTACTTTACTTTAAAATTCATGACCCAAATTTTCTTTACAGTGTAATTTCATCCCCCTACTTGCTATTTGAGGCATAAAACATGGAGAAATAAATTTGGAAAGGGTATAAAAAAAATGGCAAGTAACACACTGTCCACACTAGGGACTATATTTGTGGACAACGAAAATCAAAGGACGATAACTGTGTACTCGGACCACAAAGGGAAGGCTGGAATTGATTTTGGGGGTAATTGCCTCAAAATTTTAGGAATTAGGGGCCATAAAGGGGCAAAAAAACAAGCATTTTTCTAGTTTCAGGACAATAACTTGGGTGTAAGTGTATTGATCTCTCTGAAATTGTACTGCAAGGTACCATACCACAAAGGGAAGGCTGGGATTGAGTTTGGGGGTGATGAATCATAAGGGGGTTCAAATGATTTGGGGTGGGGGATTTTTTTTTCATTTTTTTTCTTAAAACTTTTCCATTTTAAATTGGTTATTTCTGATTTATATATAAAAGCAAATAATAATGATATGGTTTGAATAGGTCAATTAAAAAATTTTAAGTTCTTAGACCACATTCATTCTGTGACAGAAACCTATGCAGTGTCAAATATTTAATTACAATCCAAATTCAGTGCTGTATCAAGCTTGAATGTTGTGTCCATACTTGCCTCAACTGTTCAGGGTTCGTCCTCTGCGGTCGTATCAAGCTGCGCCCCAGCAGAGCATTTTATTATTTTTATTACTATTATTATAAAGCACTAGGGTGTTACAGTCAATGTTAAACTTTTCCTTACATATGATATCAAGATATATATTAAATTGTTATAAGTAAACTCAAAATACAAAAGCATACAAAAAAACTGTTTTCAGTGCATTTTTCTTGAATTAATTAAGAAATTCGACCAGCTAAAATAAGTTTCTAGATTATTATAAAAAAGTTTATGAAAAGATGATTGCAGCCTGAATATTATCCAACATCTTGTGGTGATGGACATTGGAAACAAAAGAAATTTGCAAAATTGAAAATGCAATTTCTTGGTCTTTCTTTAATGGCTTTAGCTTTGTTTTTTTATTTGACATCTTAAAAATATAATTATTAATACAAAATAAATGGAGAATGTGTCCATGGGACACAGATGATGCCCCGGCTTGCATATGACGTTATAAAAGGACATAACTCAAGAACTGTAAAAATGACGCTACCCAAATTTGTACTTGATCTGAGTTTTGTGGTAATAAGCATTGTGTATAAGTTTCATAACATTTAGTTGAGGCAAACTTAAGTATGAGAACATAAACGAAAAATTCAGCAATTTTTCCATTTGTAAAGGGGCATAACTCTAGAACGGTAAAAGTGACGCCACCAAAATTCATACTTGATCTGTGTTTTGTGGTAATTAGCATTGTGCATATTTTCATAACATTTGGTTGAGGCAAACTAAAGTTAGAGAACAGAAATGAATATTTCAGCAATTTTTCCATTTGTAAAGGGGCATAACTCTAGAACGGTAAAAGTGACGCCACCAAAATTCAAACTTGATCTGTTTTTTGTGGTAATAAGCATTGTGTATAAGTTTCATAACATTTGGTTGAGGCAAACTCAAGTTGGAGAACAGAAACCAATTTTGGGACGTACGGACGGATGGACGGACGTACAGACAAGGGTAAAACTTAATGCCCCCTCCGCTACGGTGGGGGCATAAAAAGAAATGTAGTATGATGACCACCAGAGTCTAAATGACATGTATGTAAGCAACTATGTAGGGCGCTGAAAAGCCTAAAACAATGAGTTAAATCCATACCTATATATTCAGCTATAAAAGACCCCAACATGACAATGTGAAACAATTAAAAACGAGAAAACCAACAGTCTAATTCATGACAAAACAATAAACAAACAAAAACAAATGACAAACAACAACCAATAGCCACCATACATTTACAAGCTACTGACTTGTTACAGGCACATACAGAATATGATGGGGTTAACCAGGTTTGTGAGTTCTAAAACATCCCCAGCAGTGTAACAGCACAAAATAAACAGCTGTGCCAAGAGCACATGATACACACTTATTGTGCATATTGATTTTGTGCAAAAATAAAATAGGACATTTAGGAGGCATTTAATCAGAAGTAAATAAAATGGCTATGTAGAAAAACTTGCATGAGGATACCTTTAGGCATATAGATATTGTGTTAAATATGACTGTTAGAATCACAACAAGTGTTTAGTTTTAAAACCTTCCTTTTCCTCCTCCTCCCCACCAAAGTGAACAGGGTAACTATGCATGTAATTTTCACTTAGGGTTACAATAAATGTGGAGTAATGAATGTCTTACATAATTATAAGACTCCAATAATAACATGTGTCATGGTGTTCCCAAATTTCATAATCAGAGAATATTTCAGTGGCTTTTAATTGCTATCTTTGAACCATAGTTAACTACTGTCACCTTTTAATACATAAGTTTTAAAGCCATTTCACAAAGTACAAATCAATATTCAACTTGAATAGTTTATTTCAAAACCTATAAATGATAAAATCATTAACATTTTTTACATATAAAGTTTAACTCATAAATTCACCTTGCAATAACTAACAAGTAAAATTAACAATCATTGTAGATACCATTAACAAATTGCACTTTTAAAGCCCTCAATACTCTTTACATAACAAACTACTAATGAGTTTGTTTAAGGCCATAGTTGTATAACAATTACATATCATTTATTTGTTTTCAGTAAATTCCTAAGACACTCTATCAAAATATAAACTAGAAAATTGTATCTTTTTAATACTTTCAATACCTCTGCTATAAACCAACCAGGAAAGAAATCATAAAGCATTTCAACACAAGTAGTAGTTCAAAAACAAAAAAATAAAAAAAAATTTATGGAATAATAATTTATTTTAAATGCTATAGCTATTGTATATTGGCTGACTTGAAATAATTGTCTTTTAAAATGTCACAGTAACCATCAACTATAAAGTTGACAGTATTCGTACTAAACCAGCATACTTTATCAGACAGAACCAATTAAAATCGATATGATAATAAAAAAAAAAATATTGTTTTTTTTTGTGCTTCAGTGTCTTATATATTGACAGATTGGTTCAGAAATTTCAAGACAGTTTTAACTGCATTAATCATTTTGATTATCCCAGGAATAAATTGCCTTGGCTATTATTGGCAAACCCTTTCAGAATTTTTGATCCTAAATGCTCTTCAACTTCTTACTTTATGTGGCCTTTTAAGATTTTTGATTCAATAGTCACTGATCAGTCTTTTGTAGACCAAACTATGTCTGACATACACAAGTTTAAGCCTGGTATCTTTGATGAGTTTAATTCTGTAAACAGATTATTTCATACATGATTATTTTCATGCAGTATACTGCAGTAAAAGGTTTTTCATTTTCTCACAATTTAATTGGTTAATCAAACTTTGGATGTGAACCATACCAATATGAAATGATGCATATAACTTACTGAAAGACTGCAGTACAATATTGCTGTTATCAGCATCTCAATGGTGGATATGAGGTATTGTTCTATATCTTGCTATGTACTTTATAAAACTCATAAATACTCATAAATACTATACATGGACAAAATATATCACCCTGCTATTTTGTGAACATAAAGAAATGTATTACTGGAATGTACAAAGAAATACAAACATAATAGAATCCTTAAAACTAATAGAAACGGCTATTAGTGATAAACAACAATATTTACATTTAAATAAAATGTGTCGGAATGACACGAATGGCCCCGCTTGCAAAAAACAGCTTGAAGCCATTTTTAGGAGTGGAAATTTGAGAATGAAAGTCCGCATAACTGTTATTTTCACAAAGTTTCCAAAGTCCAAATCCTTTAATTTCAGCAAAAATCAATGGAGCGGAACCAAACCTAAACTGGATCTGTAACTCAACATACTAAAATCAGCTCAATATGGTAACGTCTGTCTAACTGTTATTTTCACAAAATATTCAAAGTCCAAAGCCCAAAATTTCAGCAAATATCAGCAGAGCAGAACCAAACGTAATCTTGATCTGTAACTCATTATAGTGGACTCACATACTAAATATCATCTCAAAAAGTTTGTATAACTGCTATATTCATGAAATTTTCAAAGTCAAAAGCCGGTAATTTCAGTGGAGTGGGACTAAATGTAAACTCAATCTGTAACTCATCATAGTAAACTCACATACTAAAAATCAGCTCAATATGTGAAGGCGTTTAGAACAAAAGTCTGTATAACTGGTTGTTGCTGAATGACGGAATGACGGAATGAAAGATAAGGGTAAAACTATATATATACTTTGTTGCGGGGGCCATAAAAAATTTGTTATTAGTGAGAATAAACCAAAACTATTTACACATCTAAATAATATTGTGTGTTAATCCATAAGTTGGTACATGTACTTGGATGATATCTCCAATAATAAAAACAATCCACAAAGTGTATTGCATTATTTTGTATGAAATAACTCCTTATCAATCAGACACAACATTTCTTAGTGATAATTGATAATTCCCTTGCCCCTTGCACTCTTCAACATATCAATGTCTGATCTCAACAGACAATAACTAATAAAAAAAAAAAAACATTTATTGGTAAATGTCAATTCTTAGAAAAAATTATGATCTCCTTTTGAGGGAACTAGATTAATATGGCACAAATTAAAACACAACCTTTCCAGAAATACCTTACTGACTAATGAATTTCTTCTTTTCTTTTCTTTTTTTTTTGGGGGGGGGAGGGGGGGACAAAAATAATATCTTTTCATTAAATTTTTGTCAATTCTATTATTTTCAAAAGATATCATTATTATAAGCAAAAAATACCATGTATAAAACATTTATAAATGAATTATAATTGTATACTGCAATAAAAGACAACCACTATAAAAGTATGGAGATGTGGTATTATTGACAATGAGACAACTGTCCATAAAGACTAAAGGTCGAAGATGTGAACAATCATAGGCCACAGTGTGACCTTCAACAATGAGCAAAACCAATCCTGTACATGATCATTACAGTAAACAAAACCTGAGCACCATTATAAATTAAGCACCTTATCTGTGTCAATCAATTATCATAATATCTAACATTTGAGCTGCGTCTGATAGAAATCGACCTTATGCAAATGCACGTATACATGTACATGTGTAAGACTTTCATTGATGTTGGAATATTCAAATATAAAATAAAAGATGAATTTTGGTCTGTTTTGTAGGGTTCTTATAACAACTAAATTTTCAAACAGTTACAGACTTTTCGTAGAGATTTCTTCAACCTGAAATAGCTTAAAAGATGTATTGATATTCATTTGCATAAGGTTGATTTCTATCCAATGCAGCTCATTTTTTAGCAATACATTAATACAGTTATAAAATATACAAATCTTTATAAATAATAAAAACAAAATGCAGACAAAGTATTTACAAAAACTAAAAGTAAATAAATGGGGAATGTGTCCATGGGACACAGATGATGCCCCCGCTTGCATATAACATTATAAAGGGACATAACTCAAGAACTGTAAAAGTGATGCTACCCAAATTTGTACTTGATCTGAGTTTTGTGGTAATAAGCATTGTGCATAAGTTTCATAACATTTGGTTGAGGCAAACTAAAGTAAGAGAACAGTAACAAATATTTCAGGAATTTTTCCATTTGTAAAGGGGCATAACCCTAGAATGGTAAAAGTGACACCACCAAACTTCAAACTTGATCTGTGTTTTGTGTTAATAAGCATTGTGTATAAGGTTCATAACAATTGGTTGAGGCAAACTAAAGTAAGAGAATGGAAACGAAAAATTCAGCTATTTTTCCATTTGTAAAGGGGCATAACTCTAGAACGTTAAAATTGACGCCACCAAAATTCAAACTTGACCTGTGTTTTTTGGTAATAAGCATTGTGTATAAGTTTCATAACATTTGGTTGAGGCAAAATAAAGTGAGAGAACTTTACTGGTAGAACAATAAAAGCTATGTTCAAATGTTTTTATACACAAAATTTAGTTGTTAAGCCCCCGTTCCTTTCGGAGTCAACAGTGTAAACAAAATTAATGCCGAAATGAATTCAAACTGCCATTTATATAATTCAGTCATGATTTTTAAAAGAATTTTGTTAAAGTTCATTGTTTTATGACAATGCCCATATTGGTCAGACAGCATGGGTATCTATAAAGTTTTTAATTTAATCTCTTTTAAACCTGATAGCCTACATAACTGAGAAGGCCATGATAAAATATGTGTTTTACTTCCATCTTTTATTATTGTAATGGATTCCACATTGATTAGCACAATCTGATAAAACTACATCCTAACCATGATGCAGACCAAGTTTCTTACCAATAATAGTTTAAGGATGTTCGCTACTCTGTTTTAAAATAACAAGCCTTTTAAAAGACTGTTATAAATTGATAGTATATAAATAATGTAAACTAAAAAAGCAGAAAAAAATGAAGTGTCTGGGTGCTTGTTTTTGAGATATAAGCCATTGAAAATATGGCTGGAAATGATTCTCTCTAGATTTTTCATACATTTTTCATTGGCACCTTTTTTCTTTCAAAAACTATGAAAAAATAACAAGGATTTTATAAGATTTTCAATGATGGCATTTTAAACTATATGTAATCAAATTATGGAAAGAAAAGTAGGGGTTAGTGGGCAAAAATTTTTAATGGCACTACATGGAAAAACCAGAGGATTCCGAAAATCTGGCAAAAATTCAAAAACGAGAAGAGCAAACATCCTTAAAAGACTTAAATAAATTGATCATAAAAGAAATAAGACATCATACAACTTTAATGATAAAAGCAAACATTAAACCATATGCTGGTTACAAACTAACAAAATAAAAAAATATAAATTCTTTGCTTACACATTAAGTTATGAGGTATTTAAAGACATGCCGTCTAACAATCAAAATTACTTCTGATATAAAGATGTGATAATTTTTCAGTTTTTTTTTCTTTTACTTGCATTAAATATTTAAGATAGTTTTTTGGTCAGATTGCTCTCCATATGCTTCAGTTCTTATAAATCCTTGGCATCCTGATGGGTCGAGGTAAAATCCCAAAGCACTGCTGATGCATAAAGTTTACAAAGTGTTATCTTTTTTATTTTCTTTCTTCTAAATATATTAATAAAATATACCATGTAACCCATTCTGGATAAAAATATATGGCTGGAATGATCAATACCCTTAAAATTTGTTTCAAATTACATTATCTATGTATATGAACTCGAGTAATACACATAAATAACATTCCTAGTGTTGTGTTTAAATAGTACAGGTTACAATTACCCAAGTCTATACCCCAGACAGGTTTCTGTTCTTAATTTCATTATCATTAAGAGTATTACATTTTAATATGAGTACAGAAACTTGTTTAAGCACTTTGATTTATGGAATATATTATTCTTTCATTCTAATTCCAAGCATATGATGCACTCTCTAAGAGGACAGCAAAACTTGTGAAATCCATGTCCTGAAAAAAAAATACATTAAACTTTAAGAATAATGAATGAAAAAATATCAGGGTTACAGCACATTTTTCCTTAAATAGTTCAATGAGAAATATGATTTCAGGATTCAAATCAAAATCAAATCAAATCAAGTTTATTGTACAAAAAAGGCCTCCAGCCCACGGTACAAATATTAAATTACACAATTTATAATTTTGCCATCTACAGTTACATATTACACAATAAACAATAATCACATTACATATTCACATATCATCATATTTATAAATCAGTCATCAGTAGTGTTCATTTCCACTTATATTTTACTATACATTCAAAATGTCAAAACTTCATCTCGAAATACTTTAGCTTTCATAATATATATTGCCAGATTTTTTTAAAATACAAAAATCATCAGTTTTAAACAGATTAATCAGTTTTTCTTTGTTAGGATTATTATGACACCATATGGGTAAAAAATTTCTCCTTATATCACACAAAATCGGACAAACAAGTATAAAGTGGTATTCATCTTCAATTTCATTTGTATTACAAATTCTACATAATCTATTTTCCCTAGGTTGATTTTCATGTCTACCTTGTTCTATAGCAAGGCTATGATTAGAACATATAATGGAAAAAATTTCATGTTTGAGCTTAAATGACAGCTTTTGAATATTTTCATTAATAATAATAACATCTTTAATTTTCGAATAAAAAGAACATTTGGAAGAATTACCAATATAATCTGACCAAGTTTGTAAGTTCACATCTTTTAGTCTTTGTTTAAATAACAACATAAACAGTTTTTCAGGATTAATGTGTTATGCTGCTGTTATGCACCTTTTAAATAACCTAATCCTGTTACTCAATACATTTAAGGACGATCTATGTTTTACCTAGTTCAGCCCAACACATGCTATACAAAGTGTCTGTTCAAGTCAGGTTGGAGATTTGTGCACATGTTATTCCATTTTCTTACATGGACTTGAAATGTATGGATTTTTTGGAACAGTTGTCAAAGGTGAAATACAAGAATTTGTTTTATATGTGTAATGCATGATAGATAAATGGGGAGAGCATGATTTATTTATTAGTTGCATTATCAGTTTATTGTTATTGGCTTTGAGCTAGCTTTCAGTACTGTAAATTCAGAAATTATTGTGATGTTTTTATTATTGCGAAAAATGCGACAGGGTTATAATTGCAATAATCTAAACTCGCATTTTGAAATATTTCATATGATTTAAACAGGATTTTTCTCAATATCGCAAAAATTAGAATCACATTTTAGACTAGAATGACAAAATCGCAATAATAAATGCAAGCAATAATTTCTGAATTTACAGTAACTGTGAGTACTCTTAGATCAGTCCTTTGTTTTTGTGTCAGTTTTTTGTGCTTGGTTCCAATCTGATGAGTCAAGACAATTCCAACTGATTTTTGGGTTGTTCTTATGTTGTGCTGTTATTCCACTGTCCCAGATTAAGGAGAGAGTTGAGCCTTTGGGGGCCACTTCAATCCTTTAGTGTTAATGATGAGTTTCTGAGACATCCAATACCCTACCCTTTTCATATATTTAAAAAAACTAAATTGTTTACTATGTTGACAAAAATATACCATAACTATCATGATTAAGCTTTTTCATGGAAATATAATTAGATTGGACAAATATCTGATGTATTTACGACTGGGGTTTTAATAGCATCTGTGAATAGAAATCAATATCTGATTAGTGTCAGATGCTTGTGATTCAATGATTCAGGCAGTAATTTTTTCATGTATTTCATTTTAACTCCTCAACCTTATCATATACTATGAAGCTTGAAAGAATGATCTATTCCAGTGGTTCATTCCTACCACTATTTACATAGTAAATGGCCCACCGAGTGTTGAATGCTCACAAACATGTTTAACCCAGCCACATGGCAAAAGCTCACATTGTATTTTAGGCTTAGTGTTGACCAGGCTAAAAAAAGTGTTCTCTTCAGATAAATGTTAAAGACATAACAGTAACTGACTGAATGAAAATCACATTTTAAAGATTTATATTTCAATTGTTCTCATGAATTGGATTATTTCATACATCCAAGCCATATTATCTCTCCGAATCACCATTAGAAAATACCATTATGGAATACAATTAGTCAATGACTTAATACATTCATTAAATGTAGGCAACAGTGACCACTTACCACAAGGAAATATGAGTACTCCAGGTTCCACATGAGATACTGTCTCAGTTAATTGAATGTTACAGTTTCTGCAATTCCTGTAAGTAAAGAACCAGTTAATATTCATATTCAGATGTGACAAAATTAATATTTTTATATTGCCATATATCCAATACAATATTTATTTGCATTTGTATAATTTTTTTAAATTTAGTCATTTTTTTCATTTTTGTAATGGTGATTATGGCACATCAAAATTAATTAATACAACTGCATTTTTGTAGTAAATTCTCAAAATTTTAATTCATCGAACCATATTGCCACTGTTTATTATTCAACAAATCTGTTTAAAAGTAAATTATCAATATAACTCGATAAATTGTGTATTTATATGAACATTTTATATCAAATTATTTCAATGCTCATTAATTTACATAGAACTAACTGAATTTCACAAAATCATCACTTTTATTTTTCGCATTTTATGCAGAAGCACAAATTCGAAAAAAAGAAGTCATCCAAAAGAAAATATGAACTCTGGCAATGGATGGCAGGGTCAAAACATTGCCTTTAGGTTTACACAATTAAGCATTTCTTGATAATAGTCTTATCTTTCCACATCCAGCTGATCAGATTGTAATTTCATACAAGTTCTATGCATACCGAAATAAAATGGGTTTTTTTTCCACCAAATATTGATTTAGATAAATGGAGAATGTCTCCATGGGACACAGCCATGGACACAGATGATGCCCCTGCTTGCATATAACGTTATAAAGGAACATAACTCAAGAACAGTAAAAGTGATGCCACCCAAATTCAAACTTGATCTGAGTTTTGTGGTAATAAGCATTGTGTATAAGTTTCATAACATTTGGTTGGGGCAAACTTAAGTAAGAGAATAGAAACGAAAATTTCAGCAATCTTTTCCTTCTGTAAAGGGACATAACTCTAGAACGGTGAAAGTGATGCCACCCAAATTCAAACTTGATCTGTGTTTTGTGGTAATAAGCATTGTGTAAAGTTTCATAACATTTGGTTGAGGCAAACTGAAGTTAGAGAATAGAAACTAATTTTGGGACATATGTATGTACAGACTGATAAGGGTAGGTAGCACTTAATGCCCCCTCCATAATTATATGAATATATAAAACTGTCAAAAAAACTATTGGTAAACCTGTTGATTTTTGTACTGGTTCCCCAATGACTCTCCATATCCTCTCTGTAACGTCTGCTGGTCAAACTGTGATCTGAAGTCATGTAAAGCTGTAGAGTAGAATTAAATATTAGCACCATTATATCTATATATATTATTATATCTTTTTATTTTATAATATCTATATATATTATTTGCACTAGAATTCTGTTTGAAATGGTGATAAGTTGATATCTTTAAAAGTGGTTATTACTTCATTTTTTTTTTATATCTCATCCTCTACTACAAGGGGGCGTTTAACGACTCAACTTACAATTGACCTTTAATACCACATCATTGATACCTCATACTGAATTTACCAGTATGTAATAATCAACTTTTTTATCCAGTTTGTTTGCACATAATTGTTTTTTTTATATGTAGGTCCCTTTAAGTTCTAGCAAACTTGAACATAAAACTATAAATGTTTGTGTCTAAGATAATAGTAATAACTTTTTTTACTTTCAGTATAGATCAACAGTGAAGCCTGTCTACACTTAGGTTGTGAGTTTTAACCCCTCATGTGACAGGTGTATTTGAGTCCAATCTTATTTGACTGGAATTGTCAGTATTAAAGCCCAAGATCAGTGGTTATCATGGAACTCTGGCTTCCTCCAGTAATTAAAACTGGCTACCACAATAGTGCCAAATAGTTCTGCAGTGGCGTTTAACATTAACAATCAATCATCAATCAGTATGAAGCAATACAGTACAAATTTTGAAGGGAAGTAACTCTTTTCAAAATTGGTTTTTAGACAATGTACTTATGGCAGCCCTATTAGTATTGGATAAAAGTTTGATCTTCTTTCAATCAATAAGAAATATATGATATCACAAGCTTAAACTAGAAGTACTTTGAGCAAAGCTCACAAAATGATACCCTCACACCTTGCAAAGTCCATGATTTGAAAAGGGAAACCCCAAAATTATTCTAATAAAAAACACAAAATAAGAGGTGCATAATAGCATTATATGGTTAAGATTGTTAAAAAGTTTCAAAAATTGTAATAAGGGGTTTAGAAGCTGTAGCTGGTATAAAATGGGTTTCCCCAATTAAAGCAATGGCTAAGTCATTGCTTTGGTAAGGAAACCCCAAAAATGATTTGGATAAAAAACTAGAGGCTCTAAAGAGCCTGTGTCGCTCACCTTGGTCTATGTGCATATTAAACAAAGGACACAGATGGATTCATGACAAAATTGTGTTTTGGTGATGGTGATGTGTGTTTGTAGATCTTACTTTACTGAACATTCTTGCTCCTTACTATTATCTCTATCTATAATGAACTTGGCCCGGTAGTTACAGTGGAAAATATTTTGTAAAAATTTACAAAAATTTACAAAATTTATGAAAATTGTAAAAAATTGACTATAAAGGGCAATAACTCCTTAAGGGGTCAATTGACAATTTTGGTCATGTTGACTTATTTGTAGGTCTAACTTTGCTGTACATTATTGCTGTTTACAGTTTATCTTTATCTATAATAATATTCAGGATAATAACCAAAAGCTGCAAAATTTTCTTAAAATTACCAATTCAGGGGCAGCAACCCAACAACGTGTTGCCTGATTGGTCTGAAAATTTCAGGGCAGATAGATCTTGACCTAATGAACAATTTTATCCTCATCAGATTTGCTCTAAATGCTTTGGTTTCAGAGATATGAGCCAAAAACTGCATTTTACCCTATGTACTATTTTTTAGCCATGTCGGCCATCTTGGTTCGCGGGCGGGGTCATCAGACACATTTTTTAAACTAAATACCCTAATGATGATTGTGGACAAGTTTGGTTAAATTTGTCTTAGCAGTTTCAGAGAAGAAGATTTTTGTAAAAGATTACAAAAATTTATGAAAAATGGTTAAAAATTTACTATAAAGGGCAATAACTCCTTAAGGGGTCAACTGACCATTTTGGTCAAGTTGACGTATTTGTAGATCTTACTTTGCTGAACATTATTGCTGTTTACAGTTTATCTCTATCTATAATAATATTCAAGATAATAACCAAAAACGGAAAAATTTCCTTAAAATTACCAATTCAGGGGCAGCAACCCAACAACGGGTTGTCCGATTCATCTGAAAATTTCAGGGCAGATAGATCTTGACCTGATAAACAATTTTACCCCATGTCAGAATTGCTCTTAATGCTTTGGTTTCAGAGATATAAGCCAAAATCTACATTTTACCCCTATGTTCTATTCTTAGCCATGGTGGCCATCTTGGTTGGTTGGCCGGGTCACCGGACACATTTTTTAAACAAGATACCCCAATGATGATTGTGGCCAAGTAGTTTCAGAGGAGAAGATTTTTGTAAAAGTTAACGACGACGGACGCCAAGTGATGAGAAAAGCTCACTTGGCCCTTTGGGCCAGGTGAGCTAAAAATAAAATAAGAGGTGCACTTTTAAAAAAAGCCACATTCCATTTTAGGATTTTCCCTTCAATAAGATAATCTTCTATAGTTGAATTTAAAAAAAAATCCACTTGTAAAAAATTAAAATATATATTACCATGCTGTCCTGCTCTTCAACCTTTACATCTTCTGCAATCCCTTCTTTCTGACTGTTCACTAAGAACTGTAACTATCAAATAAAGAATAAAATGAAAGAATTTTTTCAATTTAGACATATTAAATCTTACAACTTACTGAAATATAATATTAATCATCCCCAAGACATGCCTGGTGAAAAAGCACATTTTGAGTTGTATTTTACCAAAAATATAGCTAAGAATCAAGACCGTTACTCGTTTTATACTCCTATGCTACTTTAGTAATATATCAACTATGTGTGTTTTAAATTTCAAACTAAGAAGTCACTAAATTTAAGCAAGAACTAATATATTACCTCTGGCATAAGTGTATTTGGTTTCTTTGTCCATAGGTAAGAATCTAACTTCTCTAGTAAACTGTGTGTAACATTTCTGTAAATACATATTATTTTTTAGAGCAGACAATACAATACAAATCCATTTATATGATGCATGTTTGTGCATTTACACTATCTATCAACACATTCGCCCCCAAATGGCCCCAATCCAATCTGTACTTGTGATTGAAACAGCCATTCCTTTGTCGCTCGTATAGCCCTCTTAATTTTTGAAACTGCTCAAGCTGAACTGTGTGGATAGCAGGGAGTTTAACTTGCAATTCAAGGTCCATAAATTCTCTCCATAGTTATTGTTATTAAAATTCAAAAACACAAGGAGGTATTATATGGTCAGAAACATTCTAGTCTGTAAAAATTAGGTCAATAATCTGTAAAAACAGAAATTGTGGCACATTGGGTTGCCATTAATGTTTCCCAAGCAAGACAAAAAAGTCACATTTACTTTTACTTCCAGTAACCATGGATGGGTTGCTGTAACTATTGAGTCAAATTAAAATTAAAAAAAATAGGTGTGGGTTCATACCATTTGGAACATCCACTGTCTCCCATCCCATCTCCCTTCCATGCATTCAACCCAAAATCACATTACATAGTTTTATCGATCAGCATCAGTTACATTATCAAGAGTCAACAAATTTCATTTAATTTGCATATTTTTAAAAGAAATTTTTGAGAAAATGCACAATTTTCAGAATTTCGATTTCGATTGAATTTGTTCAATGCTTCCTGCATACAGTTTTATAATCATGCAAAAATGAATATTCTTAGAAAAAAATCTGTTTGTTGTATGTCAGAAATGCAAAGCTTCGAAATGTTATTTAAATAAGAAAGCATTTCAATGATCTTACAATGCAAAGGTTAAGCATTGTTTGCTTTAATAAATATGAGTGTACAACTGGAGATCAGCCCATGACATCCAGCTCAGTCAGCTGTAATCTACTAGCAAGGCTAGTCAAAGGTGTTTGTAACTCTTCAACAATCAAATAAGGAATGAAACACTTCCCCATTTTAAGAGTATGTAGCAATATTTAATATAAAATTCTTGCTACAATCAAATCATCTATTACAAATATGGATATTTTTTTACTTTGGTGCCAAATGTAACAGCTGAGCATTCTTTTCCTTCCAATATTATTACTGTACTCCTGAAGATTAAAACCCTAAAACTTTACACAGAAGTTTGTCCAATTGATGGGAATGACCCCCTCTCCCCCTCCCCCCCCCCAAAAAAAAGGTAAAAAAAAAGACAACTGCAGGATGTTTTTAAAGACATTTAATTGCATACCTTTTGCTCCAAGTGCCAAGCTCTCTTGCACAATAAAGAACCCTTTGCAACAATTCTTTGACAAGTCTTGTAAGAGACTTGAATATCACTCTCAGGTGTTTGAGATGTCTATGTCTTACAATTTTGCCACAGTTAAATTCATAATTTTTCAGGAATTTGATAATAACATTGCTTTTAATGTATCTGTACCACATTGAAAACAATGGTAACAGAACAGAATATTCAGAATGTAAAATATTACTAAATGTAACATGATTACATAGAGTATACCCACATACTAAGCAAATGCTATTTTTAAAGCTTTCTGAAAAATTCAGAAGTTTACCGAATTCTTAATATAGATTTTGTATGAACATCCTGGCCTTTTAAGCAATCACATGGTTTAAACCGTACTGATTCCTTCACATTTCTTTTTTTTCCTTTTTATAATAAGCATACCTTTGTTGTCTATGGATGAATGAACTAAGAACACATGATTGGAAGAAAGGGAGTGAAAACATCTGATCTGTCATGTTACAGTCTTTTATAACATGGACTGTAGTTACTGGTCCTAAGTTCTGTAACATCAACTGTCCTATAGCATTCCATGTAATTGGGGGGCACTGAGGAATGCAATGGTCATCTCCTCCTTCTGACCATGACACTAGCTGGTCATTTGATTGATCAGTGTCAGTTGCTGCAGTATTTTGGTGATTTAATGAGGAATACTGACTCAGAAACCATTTCCAATCTTCCACTGAACTTGGAAGTATTCCTGCAAATAAGATATGACATAATAGCATGTTTGAAATATTTTCAGGAGTTGAATTTATCAAAGTCTTACTAGTGCCGTAGTGGGGCGGTAGGAGGGGGTGTGAAATATTTTCAGGAGTTGAATTTAACAAAGTCTTACTAGTGCCGTAGAGTGGCGGTAGGAGGGGGTGTCATCCAGAATTCATGAAAAAATAAAGCATTCTTTCCTGGATACAGAAAAATTAATCATTAATTCCAGAGTCCCAATTAGGGTAAATCCTGAATTCCCACAAAGCTAAATGTCCAATCCCAATTTCCTGAAAAAATTAAGGCCTAATCCGGACGTCCTGGAAAAAGGTCCTTCCACTCTCTTACTAATACCAAAAAGTCAAATGCACCTTATGACTATTTGTCAGCCATTACTGGCCATCACAGATGCTCCCATAAAATTTTGATGTCATTGAAGAAAATGTCTTACACAACAATGCAAAAGTGATTTTGTAAGACATCAATAGTTCAAGTGTTGATAAATCTCAGGTGTCACAGATTCCGAATAAGCGCTAAGGTCTATTCTCTAATGGTGTGTCTTAAGCTCTTCCAGTGTTCCACTTCACAGTTATGAGATGGGACTAATCCAAAATATTATTAGCATGATTTCAAAACCACAAATATTCTTTCTAAATAGTTATCATACCTTTTATATAACAAGTACCCTATGAAGATAATACTATAGAATTGATTGCACCAGTGTTTTTATCACCCTAGCAGAAATTAACTGGTTAATAAAATCCAAGAAACAATTCTTAAAAATGGTAAATCTTCAGTCCCAATGAAAATAAATTTGGACATCTTTTACAAAGATAAATATTTATGAAATTTTTCAAACCATTAGGTTGATTATTATCCAGGAGTTTGACATCATTTAGATACAGTATAAGCATGAGCATCTCCTCCAATCTTTCCTTATGTTTCAACAAAACCAGCAGGCCATTCCAATATCTAAAAGTGAAAATATAAACTGACAGATTCTAACAAAATGTGTAATGCAAATGTAATTTCATGAAGGTTTTACCCAAAAAGAGTGACGATCAATTTAAGCTTTGAAATGAAAGTGGTAAAAAGATAAAACTGCTAAAAAAATTAATTTTGCAGATTGATCTTTATAAGAATCCATTTTTAGGAATCAACAAAAGTGCCAGTTTAATTATAGCGATTTTTGAAGAATTAACAAAAATGACAGTTTAGTTATTGCGATTTTAGGAAAAGCTACATACAGATATATGTCTTTGATATCAGAATGGGAGTTCATATTATTGCGATACTTAATTAGTTGCATTATTCGCATTAATAAAAACCTGGCAAGAATTTCTGAATTTACAGTATTAAAAACATTTCCAAACCTGGAGAATAGCAAAATGGACGCTAAAGCCATAACGGACAATCCTGACTTAAATTCAAAATAAGAATTTTCCTACATGAAAAAAAATATAATCTTAAGAATTGTCATATGGTAAAACTTGGATGATAAATTACAACTAAAAATTGTATATTCCACCTTAATAGAATTCCTGTTCTGTTTTATAAAAATAGGCTTTTAGAAACAAATGACCTTTTTCAACAACTGCTCTCTTACCCCTCTTGACTGCATAAGTTCAAATGATGCTGTATCAAATTTTCATTGGTTACTGAAATCACATGATCAATTATGTCTTGGTCATTCCATTTCAAACAGTGGCTCATCGATCTGTCGAAATGAAGAGGAAAATATTTAAATTAATGATAAAATTAATATTTGTCTTCAAATGAATCTTTTACTGTAGTTTCTAAAACAAATGACATTTTTATTTCAAGGAACCATTCAAACAACCTCCAGGTTTAAAAAGAGACAAGCTGTGAGTCAAAATTCAGACCTCATAAATTTATATATTCTTTCTCTAGAGAAGTCCAAATTATCCATGCCTTTGGTTTCATCAAAGTAGATCCACTTTTCAAATACTTCCTAATTGATAAATTGTTTAATTTGTTCTGGTCCTGTAATCCTTTAAATATATGACCCTAGACTTCAGCAATTAACATAAAATCAATCATATAAAAAAAATAACACTTATTGTTGTCTCCATGGAAATGAGTCTGGACTCCTAACACTTTTTAACTCCACTTTTTTTTTTTGTGAATAAATGGTGAAAATTATTATATAAGCAATTCCTACTCAGTTATTTTATGTTTATGAGTAAAAGGAATTGGATTACAATAACATCTATCAGTAAGTCATCTAGATTTATGTATAAAATATCTAAGATTATAATAAACTGTTGACACAGAAATATGTCTTGCCTGTCGGCATAAAATTCAGAAAAAGACAATCTGATGAACAGCAACATTGCTTATTAATTCAAAGTCACTGAACCATGTCTTAGGGTGCAGGGCCTAAAAACAGACATCAAACTAATATGTACTGATAGTCATGCAACTTTATACAAAATATCATTGATCTATCATATGTAGTTCTTATCAAACTGACTTAAACAGAAAACTTAACATTGAAAGTTGCTAATTAATTCAAAGTCACTGAACCATGTCTTAGGGGACATAGCCTCAAATAGTCGTCAAACTGATATGTACTGATAGTAATGCAACTTCATACAAAATATCATTGATCTATCACAAGTAGTTCCTATCAAACTTACTTAAGCAGAAAACCTAACATTGAAAATTGTTAATTAATTCAAAGTCACTGGACCATATCCCATGGGGCAAGGCCTCAAAATAGTTGTCAAACTGATATGTACTGATAGTAATGCAACTTCATATAAAATATCAATGATCTATCACAAGTAGATCCTATCAAACTAACTTAAGCAGAAAACTTAACAATTGTTGACACCGTCATCGCCACAGCCGTCACAGGAAAAGCAATCCCTATGTCTCACTTTCCGCGACTTTCGTCACAGGTGAGACAAAAATGACATATGATTACAATTATTATTGTTAAAATACCTTTGATTACAATATTATGCATAAAATACCTTTGATTACAATCATATGCATAAATTAACTTGGATTACAATTATATGCATAAATTACCTTGGATTACAATTATATGCATAAATGACCTTGGATTACAATCATATGCATAAATGACCTAGGATTACAATTATTTGCATAAATGACCTTGGATTACAATCATATGCATAAATGACCTAGGATTACAATTATTTGCATAAATGACCTTGGATTACCAATTTTTTGCATAAATGACATTGGATTACAATTATATGGATAATTACCTTGGATTACAATTATATGGATAATTACCTTGGATTACAGTTCTCATCCATAACTTTCTCTTTATGGTTTGCAGTCTGGAGTAATATTTCTAGCCATTTCTTAACAACCATTTCATTGTCATAGAAACTGTGCCTGTTCAAGCAATAAAACGAAAAACATTTATATTCTGTACATTTACATAACTTTCATTTTGTATCTTAAAAAAAAACGACTCAAACTAACAAACCCTCAGTATTTCCATGTCCCCCAGATCGTGTTGGGCAGGGGACAATAAAATATTATAACATAAACATATCTCATCTGTTAACCAACTAATCTGATTGATTGTATAACACATGTTATACAACTTGTTAAGTATTTGATTCGAAGTAAGGTTCACCGTAAAAGAGAGGCAAAAGATACCAAAGGGACATTCAAACTCAAAAAGTCAAAAAAGAACTGACAATGCCATGGCAAAACATGAAAAACAGACAGACATACAATAGTCTACAAAACACCATAGAAAACTAAGACTAAGCAACACAAACCCCACCAAAAAAAGGGGTGATCTCATGTTCTCCGAAGGGGTAACAGACATAAGGCACAACATTCTCTATGGAGATCAGATAAAAAGATTGTAATGCAAGTGCATACCAAATATATTAGACAACTACCAGTATTGCAATATTTTGCTATGTAGAAAATGCAACATCAATGTCTTGGCTGCTGATACTTGTGTTCTAAATGTCATTAAAAGATATAATTTGCTTTAAAAGTATAAGAGAAAATAAATCTTGCAGTATAAATAACTGCTTTGGAAAATGCAGTACTTGGGAAAATCTTTCCAGATAAAAATAAAACAACTTACTCAGAACTGTCTGTGACCCTTGCTTTCATAAATTTATAGAAATAGGTTTCCACTGGCAGCAAATAAAGGTTACAGAAGAAAATAATGTCCTGAGGACAAATTGTAGCAACATCTACACACAGGTCTATAGCTTTTGTTGGATTAAGCTCAAATAACCTGAAAGAAACAACATCAATGGCTTGTTTTTTAAATGAAAATATTTAGAATAATGGAATTTTGGTTTGGATACTGACTTTATCAGGAAGAATATCAAGCAAGCCAGATATTATATATGTCAAGCTGATATTAGAGCTGATTAAGTCAGTACCAAAAAACAAATTGCCATTATTCTTTTTAATAGTGATTTGTCTTAACAATATAATTTTTTTTGGTTTAGAATATGAACTATCATGAAATATAAAGTAAAACTGTTTTTACAAAGATAACACGTTGCAATGGTTGTTCGGTTGTATGAATGAAGTCACATGCATTTCATTGATTATTGATGTGGATGGACATGAAGGCGTGACATTACAGCAGTGTTACCTGACGTCATTGCCTAATATTTTCAAGTCTCACATCATGTCCATTATCTACCTCTTCATAATTGAATTTGTACATTCACTTAATTTAAAATTGTTCCTACCTAGAGATGTATCCTAATGTTTTGCTTTGTTGAAATTCTCCCAACCTCAGTAAATCAGTCATTGTTGATAGTTCTTGTTCCATTCTATTATATGGTACATCTTCTTTGCAACATTCTATTAAACAGACATAAATGTATTTATTATATACTTAGTAGTAAATACAAGTAAGCTGTATGTGTGATACAATCAATGGCAATCATGCTGTATCAGTCACCTGTGATGATATCGATATCGGTCACAGTTGCAAAGCTTTATCAAACCCCTAACCTGTATGACGTCACGTCATCGATATCAGTAACGGTTGCAAAGGCTTTATCAAACCCCTTATCTGTATTACGTTATGTTACACGAAACACATCTACTTAAGGTATATAATATGGCTTTTTCAATGTCACACACCGTATCAAACCTCAACCAATATAATCCCCTGAGCAGAGCTCTTGGGATTATATTAGTGTCTTGGGTTGATTTGGGTGTGATATTGAAAAAGCCATATATTAAACATTTTACCAATAGAACATTCATAACAATATATAACCTCAACATCATGATTAATGTCTGTTTGAGTAAAGCTACACATATATTCCTATTAGTTCTTGTTGTTTTTCCTTGGAATATTGTTTTTAACTTGTCTAGTTGCCACCTGCTTACTGTTGGCATAAATAATTTTTTGATTCATCAAATTATTCAATTCTTCTAAAAGGTCACTCATAGTTCATTAATAAAAGTATCAGATTAAATAGTGATCTTATATTACAACAGATTCAATTTTTCTATATCCAACAGATTTATGCTTTTTTTTGCATTATACAGATGAAGTAAAACATCCAATGCAAACTTGTTATTTTTTATTTTATCACTTAGTTTCTTACAACATAGTTATGTATATATCATGTTGGTCATCTAATGCATAATAAATATAATTACAATGTATGTTTTTTTTTATCCCATTATGAAACTTTCAATAATACTGTGTAACCTAGCAGGTATATTTTTAATTTCCAAATCAATGCATTACACTGTTGTCCTGCAACCCAAATTTTTCTTCACATAATTTAACAAAAGTGTATTACATACATAGTAAGCTTGAAATTCATTTCATTCTCTGTAGGCTTTTCCACACTTCTGCATAAAAGATTTTCTCACCAAGAGAGTCAAGCACAAAGAATTCACTTCTTTTTCCAAGTTTTAATTCAGCAGTACACATAATTTAAGACAACTCATTAAGATATTTGTGATATTTACTTACCTCTTAAAGCATTGACTAGTCCACACCAAATTTGGTATGACTGTTCATCAAAGCAATGAGCTTTGTTCTTTATATTATCAATATCCAGTAAGAAGAAGTAACTTTGAACAAATGTCTGGAAATCTAAACATTCTTTCTTTAAATGTTTACCATGGAAACAAATTGTATGACACTGATGACAATGATAACATGGATGATGTTTTGTGTCTTTGAATGGTCTACTGCTACTGTTGTCATTGACTACAGCTTCATTTACTGCCATAGTCTTACCCTGAACACATTTTTCTGTTCCCTTTTCATTGACGAAAGATGATTCAATGCTTTTATCAGATTCCAAAGAATGAGAATCTGGAATACTGTCAGAAAGGCTTAAGATACTTTTATCAGAGCTGTTTGATACTGGACCAGAGAGACTGTCTAAGTCATCAAAGGAATCTTCTTCTTTTAATACTGCTTCTAACTTTTCCTGAGTATTGATAGTATCCTTATCTGTCAAACTACTACATTCTAATTTACTTTGATCATTCAAGTCAGTGGTATTTTTTTCATTAGTCCATTTAGGACATGTTTGTACTGAAGAAGAGTCATCTAAATTTTTGGAGCCCTCCGTCTCAACAATATCTCTTAGTGGTTCATTACTGATACATTTTATATGACCACTTTCTTCCTTTTCAAGATAACCAAAACCTGCTGCCGTTTCAGTCTTAGAGTTTTTGGAATCTTGCTTCATTTCACCACTGTCACTAAACCCAGAATCTCTCTGGTGGAGAATATAAATGCTAAATTTTTCTACATTGAGCACTTCATTGCACTTATCACAGATTTCAATATCATTCAAATCTTTCAAACTAGGGAAGGTAAAATTTGAAACATCACCATGGCAACCACAACCAAAACACATTTCTGTTAACTCTGCCACATTCTGTTGAAAATCTCTTTCCATTAAAAATGGGTCATTGACATAACAGATTTGACCAAAGTTTAAATTGTCTTCCTCAATCAAATAGTCTAAATGGTGGAAGGTTTTACTTTTGATTGAATGGCTTGATCCTGTAGAAATTGCTACAGCACTTTTAACCTTGAAATGACCTTCATTCAGTTTAGAATTACCAATTCCAGAATTATTGATATTTTCTTCTCCGCTTTGCTCTAAAATATTTGGTTGGTCAAATATTTGACTATTTTCATTTTTTTCTTTGCTACATGTGTGATATTTTCTTATTCTTTCAGCATAAAGGAATGTATGTAACTGATAAAGTGATTGGTTGAGGTGTTTTATCCAATCGGACAGAGTCTTTTGTAACTCTATAGGATTAAGTAGAACATTGACATCTTGCAACAGTTTTCTAGTTTCCTCAGTACTTTTCTGTAAATTAGAGAGATCAATCGGACCTTTGACAACTGGGGCTAACTCCACCAAATCCTTCTGTACTTTGTCAGCTGAGATTATGATTCCATCCATACTATCCAAAGACTATAAGAAACAGTAAAAGATTTGTTTATATGTTAAAAATGTTTTCTTTCACTAATTCAACTCTACACTTTTAAAATATGCACTTAAGGTTAATAACTTAAACAGAAACCCCTGAACAAATCTAGAGGTTAATACATGTAGTGTTTAGTTTTCTTGATCACAACATATATTTTATTCAAAAGTAATCCAGTACACCTGAGATCACACCTGGTTTTTGGTTGGGTTCATGTTGTTCAGTCTTTGGTTTTCTTTGTCGGGTTTTGTAAACTGTTGTTTGTCATCTTTTGATAGTTTTTTTATTTTTGCCATGGCATTCTCATTTTTTTTAGTTTGAATGTCCCTTTGGTATCTTTTTCCTCTCTTTAACAGCATTATTTCAACTTTTTTATGGTATGATAATAAAAGCAACAAATATGCCATAAGAATGAAAAACATAATAAATCAATTTGTCTGAAAATTTTTATACTTTCACACCGAAGATATCTCAAACATAAGAATATTTACCAAAGTATCTGGTGTACTCCTCCCTTCTCGACCTGGTGACCTTGGAAGCTTTTTTGATTTGATTGCCTGCAGAATCTTGTTCTTTTTTGTAGTTAGCATTGATTGAACACTATTGAAAATAAACATACATAAAGTTAAATTCTATTCTATTGATAAATTGGTAATGTTGACATCTAAATGTCTTTAAGCTGTTTGTGTTGATTGGTTGATGTCTCATTGTTACATATACACCACAACTAATTTTATTCATCTTTACATATATAAAAATAAGGAGATGTGGTTTATCCCTTTTTACAACTTCATAATATTTTTTTTCAAGCAATGTTTACTTTACCTGTCTAGTTTGTTAGTTAATTACTTTTTTCTGAGTCCACCAAACATTTCACTGTTAGAGCTCTCCCAAGATTGAGCCAGAGAACTTGATGGAGAAGAGTTATTACTTCCTTCTCCTAGGCTTTTATTATCAGTGTCAACATGACTGACCTCCACAGGCTGCGATAAACATTCTTCAGTAAGTGGTTCTTCTATGGACTGTCTGTGCTGTAGTTCTAGAAAAATAGTCAATGTAATGAATATTTAATTATAGAAAGATAGAAATTTTGGGAGACTTCTCCTCAAAAGAGGAAATTTTACCCATCAACCCCCCAAGAGACTGGTCTACAGAAGTAGATATAATAATGAGCTTTTGAACATTAAGGGAAAACATTATTTCATTTTGCAATGTGTACTTAAAATTAAACATTGCAGAGTATTGAGCAATGGAACACATTTAAGCAATAGTTTAGTTTGAATTAGAGTTATTTTCTTTTGTTCATATCTTCAATTTGAAGAGGGTGGTAAAGGGGGGTGCTTGCACGGAAAACATGTGAAATAAGACATAATTTCACGTTGAACGTGAAATAATTTCTGTCATGAATGTTGCACGAAAATAAAGACTTTGATGTGAACCTTTTGTGACTGAGTCACTGTCTTCTTGTATATATAAACTCTCTGTTTTACTTGTTATTCCCGATTTAGTATACACATTTATGATATAAATGGTTTACGGCTTTTAAAAAAGTATTTCTTGAAGATCCCTGCCAAGTGTTTAGCATTTGAAAATCACGATGCACGTAAAATTAAATAAGCAGAACACGTGTCTTGCACGAAGAACGTCAAATAAAAAAGTAAAAACACGTTGAACGTGAAATAAAAAACGGTGATCACGTTGCACGAAAATAACCCTTTACCACCCTCTTTGAAGTTGGACCTTTTTGTTTGGAACAGATAGATTCATACACCATGCACAACTAATGTAATTTTCAATGAAATAGTTTCCTTGACTAGTATGGTTATACACATACACATCATTTTGTAACTTGAAAATCTGAGTTATATATCATTAATAAATTGCTTGAAAGGGACATGAATAGGATCCGAAGAATGTTCAGCTCACTGCACTATGTTGCTTGTGCTCTCAAAGGTAGAGGCAAAACCTGAAAAATATGACTATCAAAATATTTGACAATTATTGGGAAGCTCGCACCAATATCTTGAATGATGATACCTTTCTGAAGTCATCTGTCTTATGAATCATAATCTGCTGTTATCTTAAAACATTAAGTCATCTGAAAAGGTCATAAAAATCATGTCATATTCTAAATAAATGCTTGTTGGGGACAAATTCATTAACTATTAAATACCATTATGATCAATTAATCTCTTTCTATCTTTATCATGTTAATGTAAATGATCTTACTTTTTTCTACACTCCTTGATATTGATCCCATACTTTTACTTCTTCTCACTGGAATAAAATGAAAAGTTTGCACAGCTAAAAAAAGGAAAGCAGGTTATATACATATTGCTCCTCAGGTTTAAGAACTAAAAGTCTAGATATAATAAATAGTATATTAACAAGCGTTGAAGCTGATATACAAAACATACATAAATTGAACATTTCTAAAATTAGTAATCATATGATGTCTAAAAACATATCATAAAGATATGTCAATGTATGTAAAGGTAACTTTTTCCGTTCATGATAGAATTTTGAATGAAAGTTAAATTAGGGCTATTCCATTAAAATGTATGTGGGAGGGTAGGAAGGGAAGTTTAATTATTGAATGTGGGTCATGGGTCTTTTTGCAGTGTGCGTCTATTACCATTATGCAAAATCATCTAAAAAATGGTTCTTGGTTGTAGGGATATTTTGAAAGTCCCTTCCTACCCTCCCACATACATTTTAATGGAATAGCCCTTAGTATAATGCATATAAAGTTTGACCCAGCTGATTATGGAACCAACAACCTCAAGCACTCAAGGCAAGCATGCTACCATTACACAACTAAGAAAGTGTGCACTTATAACATGTGTTAATTCTATGGCATGGGCATTTCAATGCAATTATACACTGATAATACCTGTATCATAAAAAGATATCAAGCAACTAACTTCCAGTATAAAAAATACTGATGTTCATGGGAATCGAGTCCAAAAATGTTAATGAATATTGATTTAAGTAGAATTGAAGCATAACACTATTGAAAAGAAACAGGGTGATTCTGAAAAGGGCAATGTGTCACTGAAGAGAGCATGCAATATTATTCATGCTAACCATATATAGATCATGTACATACATGCTTGGAAAAATAATTTGAAATAAATTTTGATCTTACTTCCTTTCTGTGGGATAGTCTTTCCCTCATCTTCTAGTGTATTGACAGATCCTTTTCTGGGTTTTTTCTTCCTCTGTTTAGAAGTTTGTCTAGATACTACAAGTGGAGTCACGTCATTCACATCTATGGCTAGGACTGGTTTTGAATCTGAAGAAATAGATATTGATTAAATTATGCATGATGCCATGTGACCACCTATTTATTTGTAGCTTCATTAATGAGTATTGCTTCAAAATTCATATGTAAAAAAAAGTATTTGTCATGAATTTCTTTGTCCAAGTACTTGAAAACAAAAATGCTAAATGGAAAACAATTATTGAAATACCGGTACCTTGAATTCTTAAATAGATTACCTAAAGGGATTTTTTAATTTGTCAAATGCTTTTGCACTGGCCTGTACGTTTGTCAAAGGTTTATATTTTCAACTTATGTAGGATTATGGATTGGTAATAATAAAAAAACTGAAATATTGACATAATTATTAGTATACCAAAATATATTGGGTATACGGGTATTTACTGACTTGAGGTGAAATGAGAGATTTTGAATGTTTCTTCTGTTTCAGGAGAGATTGCTCCGTTTTTATATAGTGCCAAATGTTATTGTACCTTTTGTATAAACTTGTTTAACTACATTGTCTTACTGTTAAAGACCGAACTTTGAACTTGTCATTCTGCAACTTTTTTGACACAATACTTTTTCTTTCAATTTCCTTCTCTTTTTCTATAATTCATTTTTTAGTAAATTCCATTTTACCAGGTATAATATTTACCTTCTCCTGCAAATATGTCTTCTACAGTTTCTTGGATGCAATTTTCAGTTATTCTACTTTCACTTTGCTGCTTTGTGTGGTCATTTACAAAAGATTTTCTTTCAGTTTCCTTTTCCTCATTCATGTATGTTTTATTTGTTCTTTGTAAACCAACAACAATACTATTATCAATGCCAGAGGCACCTTCAGTTCCATTGATCATTGGTTTAGTGTTTTCCTCTATAACTGTGGTCTGACCATTAAGTGCAGTATTTAATACTGTTTCATTTTCCAATTCATCAATTCCTATTTCACCAGAAATTATAATACTTTTTTTACTATCAAGCTCATCCTCACGTGTATATAAAATATCAAATTCTCTTTGTTGATTATAAGCACCATTCACAGTCAAATCTGGAAGCTGAGTGACATTACATGAAATTTCTGACAAATTATTACTTGTTGAATCCATTGTTTCTTTTCCAAAAGACAAATCTTCACTTTTGAAACTCAAATTTTCTTTTTCAATTTTAACTTCTTTAGTAGTGCTATCAATCAATCCAATAATTTCTGATTTTAAGTTTGTTAAGACTGGATTTTTACCGCCTGTAAAACTAGACTGAAAATCTTCAGGAATACTCCTAATCTCAGGAGATAATAATGAGGGCTGACTATTTATCCTATATATCCCAGTTTCTAGTTTTTGTATAGAAGCATTACTACTTGATCGACTTCTATCTGAAAAGGAATCTTCTAGTCCCGATGATTCACTATCATGCTGGACTGGATATGAGGACACCATGTTGTCTATTACACTTCCTATTGTTTCATTACTTGAATTTTTACAATGTTCTTTTAATTTTTCTAAGTCTTCGACAGAGACATACTTTTTCCATCTCATTTTTGCAATCCATGTGTAAAAATAACTATAAATTTCTTCGGCTAGAATCCAAGATTTTTTAGAAATAAGAATTGAAACACATTGAGGAATAGGAAAGATCTTGGTCTTTTGAATGTTTCCGTTGCAGTAAAATATAAAGAGGTAACTGTCACTGCTTACTATATTTTGAATATCTGAAAAACAAAAAAGGAATCATTTTAAAAGTTAAGGCCCAATGAAAGGCAGAATTAATATGAGGTAGGTGTTATATGAGGTAGGTGTTACCTGTGAAAGAGGATAAAGTCCTTATATTTCATGATACTTATTGGTAATAAAATATTCTAATTTGTGGGAACGGTATTTTTTACATCGTACCCTTGTCAACAGGGTATATAGAGGCAACTGCAAATGTTGTAAAAAAAAAAAGTAAACAATTCAGGATTCACTGGTACATGTATATTGATTTTTATATTGTTTTTTTTTTTCTCATTTATTTTCTTACTGTTACCTGAGATATAGAATAAAAGTTATGACTTATTGATAAGGATCTTTTGAGACTATGCCTCCTAAAAGAGTTACAGCCGATTGCAGTGAGTGTGTAGGCAAAGGTAATATCTTTGGTTAGCTTGCTTGCTAGCTGAACCTTGAAGTCATTATTAGGTAAGGTATACTACCCTCCTTTCGAAGTAGCCTAGTCCAACAGACAGATAGATTGGTTATCTGTCGGACTAGTCTACTCTTAAAGGAGGGTAGTTTACCTAACCTAATAATGACTTCAAGGTTCAGCTAGCAAGCAAGCTAACCAAAGATATTACCTTTGCCTACACACTCAATGCAATCGGCTGTAATAAAGTAAAGTGCTGAGCTATTTTAATGCTTAAGTTGAATGAAAGGTAAATAATTTCTTTGCTAGTGTACAGGGAAGTGTTGAATCTTCTTTTGCTACCAACACTCGCAATGCAACACTAAATGACTTTAAAGCTAGTGTTCATGCAGTAGTATGCTTAAAATATTTTTGAAACTGTACAGTTGTATGGTGAAAATTGTATCTTTTTTTGCATGTTCAAAGTTAACATGTAAATCATCATATTTTTATAACTGTTGTTTAATGTTCTTTTCACTAATTTCATATCATATGCTGTTACTACTTGCATTCAGTTTAGTCCTGAATATGGTGTTGATACATTAAGGAAGCCTCATTAGAAATTTGTCCGTGTTGAGTGTTGAGCTAAACAAATTTTTGCTAGTGTCTTCTTTTTAAATGCTAAATCATAATCAATGAGGTTGGTGGTTCTCACCCGTCACACTAGCTTCCTCCACCAAAAAAAACTGGCTGCAACAATATAGCCATGAGTGCTGAAAGTGGCGTTAAACTTTAATCAATCAATGTAAGAATGCATCTATCATACTTTAGCAACTGACAGATTTTTTACATTCAAGAGTAGAAAACATATATTTACCTGCTCCCATGTCTGTCCAGAATATAACCTTGATGTTGACAGGGTCAAGGACATATATATTAGTCTTACACCAAGTAAACAGAAAGTTTTCTCTGAAAGAAAAAACAAGACGAAAGTTTAAAAGCTTGAGAGGTCTATTTTTCATATCATTCCTGAAAATTAAATGTCTAATATGATCATAGTTTGTGAATAAAATTTTGCTGATAAGCATTGATGCAAAATAAGCATTTAATAATTTCAACAGATTGTTGAGCAAACTTCAAGTAATAACAAGAATGCACGCATTGTAGTTCTAAGTATACCTCCACTCATAATTCGAAGTATCCCAAAACAGGAAGTAGATGTCTGACAAACATGAAAAGTGCACAAACATTACAACTCATCACCATTCAGCAGCTGAACAAATATGAAGTCATTCTGAGCAGTGATTTCTGAGAAAAATGCGACACAAAAGTTTAAATTGAAAGTATCTAAGTATCAGCTAACAGGTAGTTGGTATCTGACAGATCTGAAAAGGGGCCATGATCTAGAACTCTCACTGATGAGCTAGCTGCCGACCAAATATGAAGTCATTCTGTTCAGTGGTTTCTGAGAAAAGTGTGCCTAAAATTTCAACTTGATTCAACATATTGAAAAATTTAAAGTATCAGCAAACTGGAAGTAGATATCTGACATCAAAAATCTTTACAACTCATCACGGTTGAGTTGCTGATCAATAATGAAGCCATTCTGTTTAACAGTTTCTGAGAAGAGTGTGACCAAAATATTTATTGGAAGAAGGGACAGACAGACGAATGGCCGAACAGACATGGAAATTGCAATATAGCACTTTTTAGAGTGGGAGTATAATAACTGTTCAATACAATCAAACAATCTCTTATCATGATACTATTTTTCGTTAAATCTATGTTTGTCCTAGAAATTTAAAAAAACTTTCTGGCAGAGAAGAAATTTTTAAAAAGCAATGTTATTTAGCATCTTATTTTCAGAGATTCATAGCATCAGAGTACACTAACTTTTTATAATAAAACCTTTTCCCCTTTTAGATGGGATCAATAATAATATTTTTTGCATTGGGTGTTTTTTTTTTTTAAATATAGAATACAAAAAGTATATGAGTCAGATATGAATAAGTTTAAAAGATGGCAAAGATATAGACAAAACTGTAAACTAGATACAAACAATGAAGGTCAAATAATGTCTATCTGTCTATTTTACTGATTGCCATTTATTGAAATTCATCAAAGGAGGTGTACATCAATGAAACAGTAAACCAACAATGAAAAAAAATATTGAGAGGTGAAGTTCGACTGCTATCTTATCAACATTGGTTTATATTTCTTTTCATTCTAATGATTGTACAAACTGAAAAAAAAAACAGATAATAAATTTACCTTGTTGTCTTCAGTTTCGGAAAGGCCACACTTTTAGGTTCGTTGTTTTCTTTCAATGGTGCCTTCCAGTAGTAGTCCCTAAAATGATATCAAAACAGAAAATCACAATGCTATCAAAGAATGGATTCACTTACATCCATTTTTGTACTCCATTTTTAAGACCAAGTATAGTAAATGCTGGTTTTCTTTAAAGGCATAGCATATTTACTACAAATATTTACCTTGATTTAATTGTCTGTGATCAAATAAGACTGGAAACACCTGAATTGAGGATCTAAATCTAGAAATGATCAGACACATTGTGTTATCTTTAATTCTAATCTTATATATTTCAGAAATGTCTCATAGCTGATGTGATGCAGATGACACTATAAAATGAGAGTACCAGTACCTGCTCATCACTAACTACCTCAAGGAGAATACTCAACACACCTAAAATACACCTTACACACAATTGATCATTTGAAAAGCTTGTACTGCTAAATACAACAAACCTAGAACATTAACACACTACTAACTAACCATATGAGCAACTAGTATCATAACCATGTGTTTATAATGTGGGTACAAAGCACATTTAAAAATCACATCAATACTTACACACTACTGACCATAGGTAGCGCTGGTATTGCTAACAGATGTTTAAACATGTGTGTACATAACACATTACATTCTATGTCAACCTAGAAATATAATAAATAATGTTTTACATGAATGTTTAAAATTTCGTAGTCAAACTTAAAAAAATCTTCACTTTAAAAAAATACTTTTAACAAAATAATGCTTTTATCATGAACTTCAGAATAAAGGGCATCTACTATCATGACAACAGGATAAAGGGCATCTCTTATCACGATAAATGAAATAGACATGCACTTTATAGACATGCATTTTATGTATGATATAAACACAAGAGTGCACACGCTGAAATATCTCGCCTTCTATACTGACCATTGATTTTATGTTGATAGTCCTACATATAAAGTTTTACTACAAGTATCGCATTAACATTTATGATCCAAGAAAATGAGGTCATGGTCAGATAAACCAAGCTAGAAATATATGTACACCTTTAATACAATCATTCCATACACAGAATATAGATGACCTATTGATTATAGTATAAAAGAAACAGACCAAACCATGGAAATTCTACATTGACCAATGATCCATGAAAATGAAGTCAAGGTCAGATGAACCCTGCCAGACAGACATGTACACCTTAAAATCATTCCATGCATCAAATATAGTTGACCTATCGCTTATAGTATCTAAGAAACAAAGTTAACCAGGAAAACTGAACATTGACCAATGAACCATGAAAATGAGGTGAAGGTCAGATGATACCTACCAGACAGACATATACACCTTACAATCATTCCATGGCATACACCAAATATAGTTGACCTATTGCTTAAAGTTTAAGAAAAACAGACCAAAACACAAAAACTTTACATAAGCAATGAACATTGAAAATGAGGTCAAAGCCAAATAAAACCTGCCAGACTGACTTGTACATTTTAAAATATTTTCATACACCAAATATAGTTGACCTTTTGCATACAGTATTAGAAAACCGGCGTATAAAAACAGACCAAAACACAAAAACTTAACATTGAGCAATGAACCTTGAAAATGAGGTCAAGGTCAAATAAAACCTGCCAGACTGACATGTACATTGTAAAATATTTCCATACACTAAATATAGTTGACCTACTGCATACAGTATTAGAAAAACAGACCAAAACACAATAAAATGCTCCGCAGGGCGCAGCTTGATACGACCGCAGAGGTCGAACCCTGAACAGTTGGGGCAAGTATGGACACAACATTCAAGCTTGATACAGCTTTGCATTTGGATTGTGATTAAATATTTGACACAGCATAGGTTTCTGACAAAGAATGAATGTGGTCTAAGAACTTAAAAATTTTAAATTGGACATTCACCTATTATGGTCCAATATCCAAAATCTAAATACATGGTTAGATTCAGCATATCAAAGAACCCCAAGAATTCAATTTTTGATGAAATCAAACAAAGTTTAATTTTGGACCCTTTTGACCTCAATGTGGACAAAGTTGATAACGGGGCCCAAAAATCAAAAATCTAAATACATGGTTAGATTCAGCATATCAAAGAACCCCATATATTCAATTTTTGTTGAAATCAAACAAAGTTTAATTTTGGACCCCGATTTGGACCAACTTGAAAACTGGGCCCATAATCAAAAATCTAAATACATGTTTAGATTCAGCATATCAAAGAACCCTAAGAATTCAATTTTTGTTAAAATCAAACTAAGTTTAATTTTGGACCCTTTGGGCCTTAATGTAGACCAATTTGAAAACCCAACCAAAAATTAAGAATCTAAATACACGGTTAGATTCGGCATATCAAAGAACCCCAATAATTCAATTTTTGATGAAATCAAACAAAGTTTAATTTTGGACCCTTTGGACCTCAATGTGGACCAATTTAAAAACAGGGCCCAAAATCCAAAAACTAAATACATGGTTAGATTCAGCATATTAAAGAACCCCAAGAATTCAAGAATAAAACCCCATTGAAATTGGTCAAGAAATAAGCAATTTATACAAAGTATCTTCTTTTGCACAATACTGTGCAATTAAATATTTCTTGCTATTGTGCAATACTGTACAATTGACAATTTCTTGCTATTGCGCAATATTGTGCTATTGGATATTTCTTGCTTTTGCGCAATACTGTGCAATTGAAGATTTCTTGCTATTGCGCAATACTGTGCAATTGAAGATTTCTTGCTATTGTGCAATACTGTGCAATTGAAAATTTCTTGCTATTGCACAATACTTATTATATAATAATTTACACTTACTGTTTGGTGTGTATCTCCTACCATATCATTATTATTTGCTTTTAAATATAAATCAGAAATAACCAACTTAAAATGGAAAATTTTAAAAGAAAAAAAAAATGAAAAAAAAAAAAAAAAAAAAACCCAAATTTTTTGAACCCCCTTATGATTCATCACCCCCAAACTCAATCCCAGCCTTCCCTTTGTGGTATGGTACCTTGCAGTACAATTTCAGAGAGATCCATACACTTACACACAAGTTATTGTCCTGAAACTAGAAAAATGCTTGTTTTTTTGCCCCTTTTTGGCCCCTTATTCCTAAAATATTGAGGCAATTACCCCCATCATCAATCCCAGCCTTCCCTTTGTGGTATGGTACCTTGCAGTACAATTTCAGAGAGATCCATACACTTGAACACAAGTTATTGTCTGGAAACTAGAAAAATGCTTATTTTTGGCCCCTTTTTGGCCCCCAATTCCTAAATGTTTCGGCAATTACCCCCAAACTCAATTCCAGCTTTCCCTTCATGATATGGAACCTTGTAGTACAATTTCAGAAAGATCCATACACTTACACACAAGTTATTGTCATGAAACTAGAAAAATGCTTGTTTTTTTGCCCCTTTTTTGGCCCCTAATTCCTAAAATTTTGTGGCAATTACCCCCACAATCAATCCCAGCATTCCTTTTGTGATATGGAACCTTGTGGTACAATGTCAGAGGGATCCATACACTAACACACAAGTTATGTCTGGAAGTTACAAAAATGCTTATTTTTGGCCCCTTTTTGGCCCCTTATTCCTTTACTGTTGGTACCATAACCCCCAAAATCAATCCCAACCTTCCTTTTGTGGTATTGAACCTTGTGGTAAAATTTCATAGAGATCCATTCACTTAAACTAAAGTTAGAGTGCGAAAACCAATGTGTCTTCGGACGACGCCGGACGACGACGACGACGCCAACGTCATACCAATATACGACCACAAAAATTTTTTTGCGGTCGTATAAAAACTAAACTATTACCACTGAACCATGAAAATGAGGTCAAGGTCAGATGACACCTGCCAGTTGGACATGTACACCTTACAATCATTACATACACCAAATATAGTAGACCTATTGCTAATAGTATCTGAGATATGGACTTGACCACGAAAACTTGACCTTGTTAACTGATCCATGAAATGAGGTCGAGGTCAAGTTAAAACTGTCTGACAGGCATGAGGACCTTGCAAGGTACGCACATACCAAATATATTTATCTTATTACTCATAATAAGAGAGAAATTAACATTACAAAAAATCTTAACTTTTTTTTCAAGTAGTCACTGAACCATGAAAATGAGGTCAAGGACAATGGACACATGACAGACAGAAACTTCATATCATAAGGCATCTATATACAAAGTATGAAGCATCCAGGTCTTCTACCTTCTGAAATATTAAGCTTTTTTAAGAAGTTAGTTAACGCCGCCGCTGCCGGATCACTATCCCTATGTCGAGCTTTCTGCGACAAAAGTCGCAGCTCGACAAAAATCAATAAAATAACAACTCTTTCCAAGGATATTGAGGTAAAGTTTAAGCCATTATTTGTTATTATTCTTATAGTTTTCATTCATTTTTTCAGTTTTATCAACAAAAAATTGTCCACTGTGAAAGTATCAACATCATCATTTAAATAATTATTTAAATAATTTTAAAAATTGTCCAAAATACATATCACATTCTCTACATGTATGGAAAATAAGTAAAAGTTTTATTTTTATATTCCTAGTCTATTTTTCAAAATACATGTACATAATTTTAAACAAGTAAAACTGCAGGTTACTGCTCACTGATGATACCCAGCCCAAATATTTCGGTAAACAGGAAGTTGTTGAGTGATGAATCTGAAAACGCATCACACAGTATATCTGACTAATATAAACCCTGAAACCAAATTTCAGAAATCCTTATGATGTACTTCCTGAGAAAGATGCGACGAAAAATATTCATGGGATGGATAAACAGACTGACAGATGGACGGATGGACGGACGGACAGAGGTAAAACAGTTTACCCCCACTTTTTTTTAACGGGGGTATAAACCCCCACTTTTTTAAAGCAGGGGGTATAATTATGAGCCAGAATCATTCATACTGATTATGGCAATTACAGTTATTTTAAAAAGACTAAAAAAATCTTTAAAAGGAGATAACCCAGTGAACATCAGACAGTGTGAATTATGGAAAAACAATTGTTTACTTTACTTTAGATATCCACAGCAAGACAAACATATATGTATTACATTTTCTCAAAAGTAAGAATTTTTTACTAAGCTAAAACAAACTGGTCCTATGGAATAGCTAATAACGATTGTCTGTTGTAGGACAAGTAACTTACCTCCCACATCCTAGATCCAGGTCTGGTACAGTATATTTTGTATAACCCTGTACTAGGCTGTTTGTAAAAACATGCTCCATAGGAACTTACCTCCCAGATTCTAGATCCAAGTCTGGCACACTATATTCTGTATAACCCTGTGTTAGGCTGTTGCATGATAAGTAACTTACCTCCCAGATTCTTGATCCAGGTCTGGCACAGTATATTCTGTATAACCCTGTGTTAGTCTGTTGTGTGATGAGTAACTTACCTCCCAGATTCTCGATCCAGGTCTGGCACAGTATATTCTGTATAACCCTGTGTTAGTCTGTTGTATGATGAGTAACTTATATATAATTCCCTCCCAGATTCTCGATCCAGGTCTGGCACAACATATTCTGTATAACCCTGTGTTAGTCTGTTGCATGATGAGTAACTTACCTCCCAGATTCTTGATCCTGGTCTGGCACAGTATATTTTGTATAACCCTGTGTTAGTCTGTTGTATGATGAGTAACTTACCTCCCAGATTCTCGATCCAGGACTGGCACAATATATTCTGTATAACCCTGTGCTAGGTTGTCTGTAAAAACATGCTCCATAGGAACTTACCTCTCAGATTCTAGATCCACGTCTGGCACAATATATTCTGTATTCCCCTGTACTAGGTTGTCTGTAAAAACATGCTCCATAGGAACTTACCTCCCAGATTCTAGATCCAGGTCTGGCACAATATAAGAACAAGCTCAATAGTAACTTACATCCCAGATTCTAGATCCAGGTCTGGCACACTATATTCTGTATAACCCTGTACTAGGTTGTTTGAAAAAAACATGCTGCATAGGAAGTTACCTCCCATATTCTAGATCCAGGTCTTGCACAATATACCCTGTTCTAGACTGTCTGTAAAAACAAGCTCAATAGTAAATTACCTCCCATATTCTAGATCCAGGTCTGGCACAATATACCCTGTTCTAGATAGACTGTCTGTAAAAACAAGCTCAATAGTAATTTACCTCCCAGATTCTAGATCCAGGTCTCGCACAATATACCCTGTTCTAGACTGTCTGTAAAAACAAGCTCAAAAGTAACTTACCGTCCATATTCTAGATTCAGGTCTCACACAATATATTCTGTACAAGGCTGTCTGTAAAAACAAGCTCCATAGAAACTTACCTCCCATATTCTAGATCCAGGTCTCGCACAATATATTCTGTATAACCCTGTACTAGGCTGTCTGTAAAAACAAGCTCCATACTCCCCTTCTCTGAAAACATTAATGCTACATATAATTTTACATCACACCTTTGAGCAAATGCAAAATTAACTTTGCAGAAAATGAGAAGGTATTACAACTTTTTGTCTTAAATTTGTTTAAAAGATATTCTCAGTTATTTGTTCATGCAAGTTATCTATTACAATTAAATTCAACTTAATGTATCTTTATAACTACATTTGTAACCTTTCATTTTTCTATAAAGGTTGGTTAATAAATTTGTTTTCATGGAATTATTTAGTACTATTTATTACAAAGGAATTACCATAGCATATGCAATACTGTGGATTCATTATTATTCATGGGATACCAATTTTCATGGATTTCGTTTGTATATGTGAACCACAAATTTCAATGTTCGACGAAGTACAAATTTTTTCTTAATCCAGGAAAATTAGTATCAATGAAAATAAATAAATCCACAATATGACAGGGAAAAACACCTTGGTACATATATTACCTTGATTTAGTTCCGATGTGAGTAAATTTTTGCCTGAAAAAAAGAAAACAAATATCTTAATATGCTCTAAAAGCTTATATGACAATTTCTATTTTGACTTGCCGCAGTAAAGGTCACTGGTAATGGCATTTAATAGGTTCTGAACTTGTAAATTTTCATTTGTTTGTTCATTAAACATAACAGACAATCCAATTACTATCTTTTCTTATGTAAATTTGAATTGCCATATGTCCATTCCTAACTTCCCCCTTGTTCAACCCTTTACAATATACTGCTATAAAGAGATTCCCATTCTATACCGACTCCTACTGAAAAATTATCCAAGGAAGAGTCACTATAGCAGGAATTATTAATCAATGTATCATTGATTCATAATAGCAGATGTATAAATTAATTGTGGAAGGAGAACAAAGAAGCAGGTCCAATTCAGGGGCAAATTGGCCCAAAAATCAAATTAAAGTTTCCACAATTTGAAGAATAAAATTTTGGATCAATGTTCTCATAAATAAATGTTTTTTTCATAGGTAACACTTGTGTAATGTAGCATACTTCAGCTGAGTTTCTCGCTGCATTGAAAACCCATTGGTGGCCTTCGGCTGTTGTCTGCTCTATGGTCGGGTTGTTGTCTCTTTGACACATTCCCCATTTCCATTCTCAATTTTATACCTAGATGTATAACACAGGTAGCACTTGTGTAATGTAGACATACCTAGATGTATAACACAGGTAGCACTTGTGTAATGTAGACATACCTAGATGCATACCTAGATGTATAACACAGGTAGCACTTGTGTAATGTAGACATACCTAGATGTATAACACAGGTAACACTTGTGTAATGTAGACATACCTAGATGTATAACACAGGTAACACTTGTGTAATGTAGACATACCTAGATGCATACCTAGATGTATAACACAGGTAGCACTTGTGTAATGTAGACATACCTAGATGTATAACACAGGTAGCACTTGTGTAATGTAGACATACCTAGATGCATAACACAGGTAACACTTGTGTAATGTAGACATACCTAGATGCATAACACAGGTAACACTTGTGTAATGTAGACATACCTAGATGCATAACACAGGTAACACTTGTGTAATGTAGACATACCTAGATGCATAACACAGGTAACACATGTGTAATGTAGACATACCTAGATGCATACCTAGATGTATAACACAGGTAGCACTTGTGTAATGTAGACATACCTAGATGTATAACACAGGTAACACTTGTGTAATGTAGACATACCTAGATGCATACCTAGATGTATAACACAGGTAACACTTGTGTAATGTAGACATACCTAGATGTATAACACAGGTAGCACTTGTGTAATGTAGACATACCTAGATGCATAACACAGGTAACACTTGTGTAACGTAGACATACCTAGATGTATAACACAGGTAGCACTTGTGTAATGTAGACAAACCTAGATGCATAACATAGGTAACACTTGTGTAACATAGACATACCTAGATGTATAACACAGGTAACACTTGTGTAATGTAGACATACCTATATGTATAACACAGGTAGCACTTGAGTAATGTAGACATACCTATGTGCATACTTAGATGTATAACACAGGTAACACTTGTGTAATGTAGAAATACCTAGATGTATAACACAGGCAGCACTTGTGTAATGTAGACATACATAGATGTATAACACAGGCAACACTTGTTTAATGTAGACATACCTAGATGTATAACACAGGTAGCACTTGTGTAATGTAGACATACCTAGATGCATAACACAGGTAACACTTGTGTAACGTAGACATACCTAGATGTATAACACAGGTAGCACTTGTGTAATGTAGACAAACCTAGATGCATAACATAGGTAACACTTGTGTAACATAGACATACCTAGATGTATAACACAGGTAACACTTGTGTAATGTAGACATACCTATATGTATAACACAGGTAGCACTTGAGTAATGTAGACATACCTATGTGCATACTTAGATGTATAACACAGGTAACACTTGTGTAATGTAGAAATACCTAGATGTATAACACAGGCAGCACTTGTGTAATGTAGACATACATAGATGTATAACACAGGCAACACTTGTTTAATGTAGACATACCTAGATGCATACCTAGATGTATAACACAGGTAGCACTTGTGTAATGTAGACATACCTAGATGTATACAATAGGTAACACTTGTGTAATGTAGACATACCTAGATGTATAACACAGGTAAAACGTGTGTAACGTAGACATACCTAGATGTATAACACAGGTAAAACGTGTGTAACGTAGACATACCTAGATGTATAACACAGGTAACACTTGTGTAACGTAGACATACCTAGATGTATAACACAGGTAACACTTGTGTAATGTAGACACCAGTAGTTTATCTTCTGAGAAATCCACTTGACAGATAGGAGAATCTAATCTAAGAATGATCTCAGGTGGTAGTGATACCAAATTCTGTACCTGGAACATATACAAATAGAATTATTTTCATTGACAAATCCTAAAAGAAAATTTATGATTCATGAATTCATAAAAAAAACATGAATTATACTGAGTGAACAAAATTGCATTTACTTAAAAGGGGTTAATGTGTATGTTTTACCTTCATCAGTTTAGGCCTTGATTATTTTATTCTGTATTTCAATAAGAATGCCTTAAGAGCCTTTGTTAATAACTGAGTGATTTGAACACTTTTTATTTCTTTTACACTTCAGGATTGGATTCTCTAAAATCTTGTGTTTTTTCTTTTATTTCAAACAGAATATTCTAAAAAAAGTTTAATTTCTACTTTTTTAAATCTGAAATTCCTGACACATGTACATTTACTAGTTATTTCTTGTACTATTTGAATACTTCTGTTTTCAATCAGTGTTTTAGCTAATAGTGTTCTGATCAGTGATATGAATAGAAAGGATATATATTAGTAACTCAATGATTACACAGCATTATGAGCAGATTTTTCCATTGTAATTTCATTTAAACAAAATATTATTTTGTTGACTAGTAAGAGATAAACAACTTCAAACAAAGGAAATTACTAAACTTCAAAAACCTTCAAAAATAATTTTAATAAAAATCAAATTGTTGATACAGAGTTATGTCTCACTTTTTGTAATTTTGATAGTAAAATGCAAATGTTAAATGAAAATGACAATATCTAAACATGTAAAGTATATAAAACATTCCCAGTAAATGACTGGGACTATGACTGCTAGTGCAGAGCCAAATTACCTTCTTTGAAATGAGAAATGCCAATGCATATTAAACTGCATATCAAATTCCATAGACCTTATCGCTATTTGGGATTCTGCGACACTTGACCTCCGAATTTGCAACACTTGAACTATTGATGTCATATAATAATCACTTTTCCTTTGTGGCATCAGACATTTTCTATTGTGACATCAACATTTTATGGGAACCTTTGTGATGTCCAGTAATGGCGGACAAATAGCGATAAAGTGTATTGACTTATCATAAGTGGTTCCCTTTAAACTAACCTAAACACAAACTTAAACTTGTAAAATATGCAAAAGTTTTAAAGTCAATGAACTATGATGATAGGGCGGGGCCATATAATTTCCATGAAATACCAACTATCATTGATTTAATATTAGGGGTTTGTCTTATACTGATCTAATCACAAACTAATACATGTTAACTAAGCAAAAGTTTCGAAGTCAATAGACCATGACTGAGGGGGGCGGGGCCAAATAATCTCCATGGAAATGAGATGTGCCAATGCTAATGCAGCTGCATACCAAATATGGAATTAACACTAGTTGTTCCCCAATAAACTGACCTAATTGCAAACTATTAAATTGTTGACGCCGCCACCAGAAACAGTACACCGAAGTCTTGCTTTTTTTTACTTTGTCAAAGCAAGACAAAACCCTATACAGGCAGTTGGAGTATTATAAACCGTTGACCCTGATCATTGAAGTTAATAGGGGTTGCTTAAGGGCTGGAAGATAGGGATGTTAAAATTACCTGTTATGGTAAAAATAGCAACCAAAAAGAGTAGCATGGCAAAGTTCCTTTAGTGATTATATGCCCAAAAATTATAAAAATGAAACAATTACACCCTTTATGCCCCCAGTCCAAATCTACTGCTCGGAAATCATATGTTATTGTCAATATATTACTTTTGTACTAGGAATTGATGTTGCATAAATTCTCCCTAGATTGTCTCCAGTATAAAGTTTACTTCCTGTGGTATCCCAAGTAATACTGGTCACAGTTGACTGAACATGGTCAGTAATCAATCGCAACCTCTCAGGTTTTTGTCTTGAACCTTTTTCTGTGCTCAGTTCCACAACTACAACATGGCCTTTCCTGTTTATAGAAAATATTTTAAGTTTATAAATAAACTGATGACAAGGGAGATATGTCTTGTCTGTATGTAATTTTAAAAGTACATGTATTATGGAAATGTTGAAATTAATATGGGAAGCTCTTATCTAAGGGAGCCTTATAAAGATAAATAATCGAAAGGAGTGCTCATTGGATGAAAAGTAAAAATGTCTGTATGTAAAATTGGAATTTTCAGTCCTTTAGCCTCATAAATTTGAAACTGTTAAAAGTTTGTAAATAAACAACAACAAAACACTCTTTCTATAATATGGACACAATTTTTGCAGTCATACAATAAAATTGGATATTAAAGACATCTCAAATCTCAACTAGATAATCAATGGTAAATTCAATTCTCAATTATGATTGTTAATAAATATATAGTACTTTAAAAATATTGAACAAAAGAAGTTCAATTTATCCTGACAAAATACCAGGAAATTTACCCTCATGTCTTTTTTTGTCACTTTTAATTAATGTGGGGAAAAAATGAGGTCTGGTTTCAAAAGCTATACAATTGTAATACATGTAGTTGCAATTTCAACTTAATGAACAACATGTGCCCTGTCTTTTTTTATCATATATTTTAAGTCTGTCATATATATATATGTTATAGTTAAGTGTCAAGTTACTTACACTGTTGAAAAGGCAACAGATTTATCTATAGGACTGATTGATACACAGTTCACTTGTGCTGGTTCCTATCAAGCAGAAATGAAAAAGAACATAATTTCTAATTTAAGTATTGAGATTATGGCATTATACATGAAATATGAAGGCAGATATTGTTTTACAGGAAGCAGGTGAGGCTGAAGTCAAAGGACAAATATGCATGGCACCTTCCAATTCTCAATTGGCACTCAGTGGTTTTTATTTTTTTTTATCCTATTTAATTTTATTCTTTATTTGAGAATTTGATGTTATTGGCATATCTTTGATAGTCTCTATTCAGGCCTGTAGCCAGGGGCTTCGAGGGGTTGGTACGAACCCCCCTTTGAAAACAAATAAGTACTATTAAAGCCGATGTTCTGTTTAAACTGTGACTATTAAGTTTAGATTTTGTTTGTCACGAGTCTATCTAACTCTCCCTTGAAAATTCTTGGCTACGAGCCTACTATCTATTTCATTAAAACTTTTTACACTCATGGCAATTTAGAGCTCGACATTTTGTATAGACAATTGTCTATAGTGGAAGATTGTATGTTGATCACTAGATGTCTTTTGGTTATTTATATCATTGGATGGCTGTCTCATTGATGTGTACCCCACATCTTTTGGTTTTTATATCATTGGACTGCTGTCTCGTTGATGTGTACCCCACATGTCTTTTGGTTATTTATGTCATTGGACTGCTGTCTCATTGATGTGTACCGAACATGTCTTTTGGTTATTTATGTCATTGGACTGCTGTCTCATTGATGTGTACCCCACATGTCTTTTGGTTATTTATGTCATTGGACTGCTGTCTCGTTGATGTGTACCCCACATGTCTTTTGGTTATTTATGTCATTGGACTGCTGTCTCATTGATGTGTACCCCACATGTCTTTTGGTTATTTATGTCATTGGACTGCTGTCTCATTGATGTGTACCGAACATGTCTTTTGGTTATTTATGTCATTGGACTGCTGTCTCATTGATGTGTACCGAACATGTCTTTTGGTTATTTATGTCATTGGACTGCTGTCTCATTGATGTGTACCCCACATGTCTTTTGGTTATTTATGTCATTGGACTGCTGTCTCATTGATGTGTACCGAACATGTCTTTTGGTTATATATGTCATTGGACTGCTGTCTCATTGATGTGTACCCCACATCTCCTTTTATTCACATTCAAAATAATGTAAGAGAACTATTATTGGACCAATCATAGTTGATTAGAAATCTGTCATGAAAAGTCCAATATGACATACTATCAGTTGAAATATAAACAGCAGATATTGTAAGGAAACTAGGAACTGAAAGACACAAAAAATGCAGTATACCTTGCAAGTCACCAATTTCAGAATAAATACCAAATTTGAAATCATTATAAAGCATAGTTCCAGAGAATGGAATTAGAATGAATAAAGGTAAACAAGGTCTTTTATTAATGCCAACAAAAAGTTTAAAACTTACAGCGCTATTAGTGACAATACTTTAAAATTGCATAGTCTGAAAATGTTATAATCAATTTTAGTATAAAACAATGTAAAAGAAGAGAATAATTTTTTTTTCTCAAAAATTCTGTAATCCCCCTGCTGAAGCAGGCTTATATTATGCTTGTTCTTTTGAAAGTTAATCCCCCAAAACCTTATATAATGCAGTATAGTATGTATGTTTTAATTTGATCAAACAAATAGCAATGAATAAATGAACATTTAAAATCATATGCATTAATGAAATTATTGTAAATTAAAACTACTTTGTTCATAATCATGTTAATTTTACTTGTACCATGTTTCTAGTTACCTAATTTGAAAATAATCTATTAAATTGTTGAGTCCATTTTTATTTTTTTTCACCTTACAGGTCATTTTATATTTTTTCTAAAATTAGCCAATATTTCTTCAGGAACGCAAAGTCTCATTAAATTTAGAAAAGCAACCCACTGGGTAAATGTTATGTAGAAAAAAACTTACAATCTCAGGAAAAATAATCTGTGGATGTTTGTGATTAGATCTTCCAAACACATACACACTGCCTGTATTGCTACCAAAGGCCAGAAATTTAGATGACACATCAATGCATGTAAATTTTAGTCTTGATGAACCTCTAAGTGCACCCTTTACATCATCCAGACTAGATGTTTCTACCAAGATGTGAGTCCAGTCTGGTTCTGACAATGTGGACTCAGCCATGGAATTCTAATTTTTATATCTTTATATCATGTATATGTCTCATAGTGATGCTGATTTCAACGCTACCATTTCATTCTAGATTGTTTGGTAGGTTCATCTGGAAAAAAGATTACATACAAGGTCAATAAAAGCTGACAAATTTGCAACACAGTCATCTAATTTTACCAAAACACCTATTACAAGTGCTTGTTAAGTTTTATAAAAAACATTAAAATGTTCACATTCAGAAAGGCTACAACTGTATTTTTTTTTTGTCTAGAAAATTTGAATTTGACATAGCACTTCTACAAACCATATGCATGATATGAGAATGTAATCCAATAAGATCCTAAAGGTTTCCCATCTGGCAGTAAAACCCATGCCAAGGAAGTCTTTTTTTTCCTGTGATAGGCAGCAATAAGTATATCAAATCAATGCCATCTTAAGACATATCTCTGTATACTAGAGAACCCTTTCAACTACTTGTTGAGGGGTTTGTATGTAGCCTGTTGAAAGACAAAATATCAGCCCATATCCAACATAATCTCTATATTCCAGTAATAAGGCAAATTGCCAGCCCTTCTTCCCAGAAATAAAATTGAGAATGGAAATGGGGAATGTGTCAAAGAGACAACAACCCGACCATAGAGCAGACAACAGCTGAAGGCCACCAATAGGTCTTCAATGCAGCGAGAAACTCCCGCACCCGGAGGCGTCCTTCAGCTGGCCCCTAAACAAAAAAGGTATACTAGTTCAGTGATAATGGACGTCATACTAAACTCTAAATTATAAACAGGAAACTAAAATTTAAAATGATACAAGACTAACAAAGGCCAGAGGCTCCTGACTTGGGACAGGCGCAAAAATGCGTCGGGGTTAAACATGTTTTTTGAGATCTCAACCCTCCCCCTATACCTCTAGCCAATGTAGAAAAAACAAACGCACAACAGTACGCACAGTAAAACTCAGTATAAGAGAAGTCCGAGTCCGATGTCAGAAAAGGAAACAAAAGAAAATAAACAAAATGACAATAATACATAAATAACAACAGACTACTAGCAGTTACTGACATGCCAGCTCCAGACCTCAATTAAACTGATTGAAAGATTAAACCTACTTTCCAGAACATTCACAAATTTCTTTGATTTTTCTTTAAATTTCATACTCATGGTTATGAAACAAAACATTTTTTAACAATTAAGTCAAAACTATGTATGCCTTTAAAATTGTTTAAGATTTTATTTTCTTTAAGGAATGACTGTAATATTTTTTCTGTCTATGAAGAAATAACATAAAAAATGTGGTGCACACTGAATAACTCGTGTAGCGGGTTATTTTAAAGTGTGCACCACATTTTTTATGTTATTTCGAATAGACAGAAAAAATATAACAGTCATTTCTTATAATTTAATTCTTAATTCCATTTTAAACCGGAGTAAATCATGAAAAAACGTTGATGACGTCAAGGTCACATGACAAAATTATGTCTATGAGCTGATAACAAAACAACATCAGCCAATCGGAAGACGTGTTACATCCAAAATTAAATTATTATGTTATGCCTACTGAAATAATTTTTTTATGATGTACATGCTGTACACAAACATTAAAAAAGGATAACATGTGGACATTTCATTCTGTATTAAATATCTAGTATTTTTCAATTATCTTAAATCCACTAATTAGCAGTAAACAAATTAACAAAGGTGATAAAACTGCCAAAGCATTAGGTATTTAACACAATCAGGTAACAATTTTACCGGAAACGCCGGTAGGCATGAAATTTGGAAATTTTATTTTTTTTGAAAAGGCAGAGGGGGGCATTCTTTTACTTTGGAGGGCAGAAGGGCGGGGGTAAGGGGCACCAAGGGCGGGCCGCCCTTCTATTTAGGGCAGGGGGGAACACTGCATTGTAATTTTAGAATTTAAAATAATTATATGCAGTTCTTACTATCAAAATAGAGCTTTGCATTACCATGTTCAAATCCATTTCACAATTTTCAAACTGCTTTCAGAAAGGATGTTATTTTGTTCATCCAACATGTCCAAGTCACAGATAAAGCAAAATATTGAGCCCAGTTACCAACAAACATATTATGAGCAGCAGAAAAGTATCACATCCTGATGTTTCAAACATGCTAAAATCATGATCTTTGAATCCCAGTAGGATTAAGATCTTCAGTGATCATTTTCTGATTTAAGGTTCACCATAACTATTTGACAATAAAATGGCTGCGTTCAGCTCACAAAATTTAAACTTCAGTACAGGCAAACGTGTGTTAAAAAACTGGAAAAGTTGTATACCCTTGCAAACTTAAATATCACATGTAAAAGTTTAATGCATTTCATGTTTCAATAAGTTAAACTCTTTCCTGGATTTTGATGGTTATTTTTTTTTTTTTTTATGTTGCTACAGGCGTTTAAATAAACTAATTAAGGAAGGGTAATTTTTTTTTAATGTCCCTGTCTAACAGGTAACAATTGCATTATACCATATTATACTGCATTAATTGATATGGTAAATAAAGGGAAAATCTGTGTATTAAACCGAGTAGACAGTATGAATAAAATTCAGATGTTCATTTTACCATCTTTCGCAATGTTGAAAAAACCTAATTTCAAATCTGGGACTATTATACTAATATATTATGTCCCAGTTCAAATTAAATCCAAAAAACTTTATAACAAGATTCAGTTTTTCTGAAAAACAAAATGCATATAACTTTTATATACCTATGTGGTGCTACTCCTTAAACCTTTCCAAGCTCAGGGACTCGGTTAGCAGATTAAAATTTTGTTTATCAATGTTTTTCAAATCTTTTTTCATATTTCCTGTCTATTTGTATAACAATATTAAAGTTTTTAACGCTGGCATCAATATTTCTTTGTTTTCTAGCAATGTGCAGTTTACTATCCATATCCGTATACTGAAAAGTCCTAAAGGGATCTAAGTCGCCATTTTGAATAGCCTACCCTTCTTTAAAATATTTCCATGTGACTATATACCTTACAAAGGCACTCATATCCTTCCTAAATGATTCTTCTATCACAAGCATGTATTGATTTTCCGATCAACGACACCCTTACTCAGCTATCGTTTTATTTAGGTCTAAAAATTCAAATTTCCCCGGTGAAAGCAACGTAATTTGCAAACGTGTCGTTTTAAAACAAGAACGACGAAATGGGAGATAATTCTGTCATTCAGAAACTTTCTGATTGTTACTTTTATTATAACGATAATCTCGCATAGGGGACCTGATTTGTGCTGTCCCCTGACTTGATACCTACGCTCAATCAAACAGATTTGACACACTGATTTTCAAGCCTAGAATCCTTCATAATTATCGAATGCAAAATTTCTTCAAACAATCATTGTGTAGTTGCAATGTCAGATTTTCCTCCTACACCTCCCCACTGAAAATATCAAATGATTGTCCCCAAACTTTCATGCTTTTTTCATACAGGAATGTGACTTTCTGGTCAGACATCGTCCAGATATTTCCACATTTTATATAGTATATAAACAGAGGCGGATTTAAAAGACAGGGGGTTGCTCTCCTTATGGAGCTTCATATATGATAAATGCATAGACTTTTTACAAGGATCACTCCAAACGTTGGCTGGCCAGCCCCCCTTTTCAAAATCCTGGATCTGAACCTGATAAATCGTTGACCACGTCAATTTTTTTCAGTAACTACTCGATTTTAGTGATGTATCTTGCAAGAAACCAGTGAGTTATGTTCCTGCGTTTGCAGAAGGTTTTTTTCATTTGCTCTTAATATTTTTTGATGGATTTTTATTCCGCGGCTAATAGTAATAGAAGAAATTTGCATTAGATATATATGAGGGATTATCTTTGTAATAAACGTAACATCCGGAAAGTTTCAGAATGACAGAGTTATCTCCCATTTCTCCTATCTTGTTTAAAAACGACACGTTTGCCATTTACGTTGCTTTAGCCGGGAAATTTGAATTTTTTAACCTAAAAGAAACGATAGCTGAGTAAGGGTGTCGTTGATCGGAAAATCAATACATGCTTGTGAAGAATCATTTAGGAAGGACATGAGTGCCTTTGTAAGGTATATAGTCACATAGAAATATTTTCAATTATTTTTTATCTCAAGAAGGGTAGGCTATTAAAAATGGTGACTTAGATCCCTTTAGGACTTTTCAGTATACGGATATGGATAGTAAACTGCACATTGCTAGAAAACAAAGAAATATTGATGCCAACGTTAAAAATGTTAATTATGTAATACAAATAGACAGGAAATACGAAAAAAGATTTGAAAAACATTGATAAACAAAATTTTAATCTGCTAACCGAGTCCCTGTGTTTCCAAGTTGCACAAGTTTGTCTATCATTGATTGTCTGTACACTGAGTAAATTAGATGTTGAAAACAGAATCATTTTGAAATGATTTTGGTCAGTTATGATGAATCTTTATCTGTCAACAGCTAGCAACACGAATTCCCTATCTAGAAAGGAATTTCCAATGGGTAAATATTCAAAACAAACGTCAAAATAATTTCAAAAGACATCCTAATTGGAGGTTTGTCTATCTGTGTGTGTGTTTTCATGTTCACTTTAATTTCTAATTTTTTATTTTTTACTTTCAGTTTGTCTCTTACAGCAAGACAGATATCTTGGCATATATTTGTTTGGTAATTTGAACATGAATATGAAATTCAATCATGTGTTGTATCGTTTCCTTGTTTAACTTACTAAATATTACGCACACGTTTTGTTGTTTCAATAGCCTTTTTACAGGAAATTAAACGAACATTGCAGTCACATGATTCAGTTTTTCCATTGAAGGGGGAACAACTCCTTTCATTCACGTGACTGTCATGTGACATATTTTCAGATTGCAGAAGTTGTGAGGCGGGTAGGATGCTTGTACTTACATTTGCGTTATTGACATGTTTTTCAATAAGAGAAACAGTGTCAGTGAAACCAAACATTGTATTTGTTCTAACAGATGATCAAGATTTAATGCTTGGAGGACAGGTACTATTTTAACAGGATGTTCAAAGAATAATAGTAGATCATATTAATTAGGAATGATTGTATGGTACAATGTATATCAGAACAAGCTACAAATTTGATGGAATCTTTTCTATTTAACCAAACACAAACAGTTATAATAGAAAGTTATTCCTCTTACAAAATGCCAGTAACATCACTTGTTCAGCAGTGCATTGTATTACATCCCCTACAGGCTACTACATCAGTACATATATTAAAATTCCTAGTATTATATAAAACAATTTACCACAGTAGCGTTACAGTTCCCAAACTGCACCTTCAATGTAGTACCCACATTATATCCATTACGCAAAATGCAGAGGAAATGTTTTAGGTTTTCTAAGACTAAGAGGCTAAACAATAATTTGCCATTAGGCACATCTTTCAACACTATACACGAAACGGTCACATTGTATATCAACAGATAAAGTCTCCTGTGAAAAAAGTAAAATTTACAGAAACTTTGTAGGGGAGGTCTATAATTGGTCTACTTTTAAAAATGAGAAATTAAAATAAATTGTCACAGACATGCATTTCAATTACAAAATGCAAAATAAGCATGGACTTTCATCAAATTGTTAAAAAAATGTGTAGAAATAAAACAAAACATCAGTTATTCAATTTTTACAAATGTGTTATTAAGCAAGGGTGCAATATAGGTACCCCTCATTACAGAATCCTGGAATGTTTGGGGGTCAATTCAAACCCATTTTTCTATGACTCAGTATGGATTCAAAATGAAAATTGTGGAGCTATATATATAATAAATAAGGATACTTCTTCAAAATAAACACAGAATGGAAACTTTTGTCTGTTTCTTAAATAAACGTAGGTGAAAAAGGTCAAAATAGGTGCAATTTGGGTACCCACACATTATATTCATTACCGTCAAATCATACTCTTTGCTGACCAGAATGGGCCATCAAATGGGAACAAGACCAGTTAAAGCAGTTCCATCCCGTCAAATAGTATACATACACAGAGAGACCACAAATAAAATACCTAGCTATTTATGTCGGTTGTATGATGCATGTGTGGTCACATTATTTAATCTGTTCAAAATAATGAAATCATCAAAACTTTGAAGTGGAACAAACACATTCAGAACATTTTTACATTTTCCAATTACATTAAAAAGAATAATTATCCTTTCAAATTAATCAATCGTATACATGGTACATCATTTTCATGATTAAGACCTGAAAAATACATACAAAATTAATAAGGAGATGTGATATGATTGCTAACATGACTAATGAGACAACGATCCACTGGAGTCCAAATGATGTGGGTGTAAGAAACTATGTGTCACATTACAGTCTTCAACAATGAGCAAAACTAACACCATATGGTTGGCTATAAAAGATATGAGAAAATATGAAACAACTTGGCAGAGAAAACCACTGTTATGATTTACAACAAAACAATTATTGAAAAACAAATATGCCAGACAGCAACCAGGCAAAACCACTGAATTACAGGCTCCTGACTTGGAGACAGGCACATTCAGAATGTGGCTGGGTTAAACGTGTTTGTGAGCACTCAACCCTCCCAGAACCTTGGACAGTGGTGTAACAGAACAATATAACAAGAACAAGCTGTAAAAATCAATGATGTTTTACACAAAATCCTGAAAAATGCAATAACAGGAACACATGTGTGAAAGACAGAAAACTTAAATTGAAAGATTTTGATTTCACTAGTATATTGATTTTTGTCCTCTCTCATGAATGCATTGTATCAGTTCATGTATCTTTCTTTTATATTATTGCAAAGTAAGAAAAGGATACACAATGTATTAAATTTGTAGCTAAATAGGGAATAAAAAACTTTTAAATACATACTTGATATGGAATTCCATATGGTTTTCAATTACACTGACGCACCAATATATTCTGCCAAATTCTAATTATAGACTCAGACTCTACTGTAAAATAATATTTTGAACCGTCAGTGAGTTGGTCCAATTGTTCTATTCCTTGAATAGTGAAAAGGTACCTCATCAAAGTCCTGATGGCAACTTTATTCCTTAATCTTCAATTATATGATTCTGTTTAGTTTAATATTGATTGATGTCAGAGCAAGCAGGCAAAGTGTCTATAGATCTGGTTGATAGCCTATTTATTATTTCAGTCGGAAAAAAAATAGTAAAATCAAACAGACAAAAGATTCGTTATGAAACTAAAACTATTGTTTGAAAAAATACATGCAATTAAAATTTTATGCAAAACCTAAATGGCAAAGAAAACGTGATACTGATTTTACTGCCAATGACACATGCTTTTGGAATAACCAAATATGCTCATGATCAAAGTATTTTTGCGGTCACATTGTACATTAAAAGTATTGTCCTTTAGTCTTTGGTTTCTCTTAATTTTAAATTGTTGAAAATAGCTTTTTTTGTAGATTCCAATCGTGAAGACAAACAAGTTAATTGGAGACAAGGGGATGCTATTTAATTCCATGGTAAGTCCTTAAAGAAGAGACTCAGAGAAAACAATTTAACAACAATAAAATCAGATAGACATCTTTTTTTGTAATACATATGTAGGTAAGTCTTTTTTTTTTAACAAATAAGTTATTCCATTTTTAAGGTAAACATCAAGCAACATTTTGAACAACATATAGAATTTACTCGGTTTAAAAATCTGTAATATTTTACAGAAACTAAAATTTTACCGGAAAAGAGTTAAAGAAACATTCTGATTATTTTCCAGAAGTTGAAAATGATGAGCTCTGATGTACCAGGTGGTAAAGTTGGGTTTTTTATATACGCCCAACGATTTAGAGCTTGAAATCTGTCTATTGCTGAGGACTTTATGTTGACTTCTAGATCAGTAGATATGTTTAGGTTTTATTGTGTCATTTGATTGATATCTAAATAATGTATGTGAAAATCTTCTTTTATTCATAATTATTTGGAAGCTCTTTACAAAAAAATGTTGTTAAAATTTTATGGGAGATAACTCTGATTAAAAAAAATTGTGCAAGAGTTCTTCATTAATTTATTTGGATCTTTTTTACAAAACAGATTCATGCAACTCTTTGTCTTGCATAATTTGTGTGATTTCAGGGATTTCTCAAATTGCAACTTGTATTGCATTGTGGGTGAGATTAAGCAATTTTGGAGAGCAAAAAGGAGTTTGAGCGTTAACATTCATTGGTCTGATATTTATACTTAGTTTATTTATACTTAAGTATGTAGCCTCACCACTATGTTGCCCAAGCAGATCGAGTATTCTGACAGGAAAGTATGTTAGTAGTCACATGGCTTACAACAACTCAATAGTTGGAGGATGTAGTAGTGCAGAATGGCAGAAAACACAGGAAGTTGATGCCTTTCCAGTGTACATGAAAAAACAGTCCTACACCACGTTCTTTGCTGGAAAATATTTAAACCAGGTATTTCTTCATAAATGCATAAGTTAGCTATGCATATGACATGTATGACCAAGTGTTAGAATTTTTATGATCAACAGGTCAAAATGTTAAAGCTTTCTTAAATTGCTAAATTCATACTCCTGTGCTATCCTATTTAATTGAAATTTCAAATGAAGTTCAAAATAAGATTGTTAGCAATAAATGTTATTATTATCATATCATGAGTTTAAACAATAGAAAATTAGTTCTTAATGCCCAATAGAAATAAAAGTTTTTAAAACAATGAAATACAAGTTTCCAAAATTTTTAATACACAGTATAAGCCCTAGCCATGGTTATAAAGGGGCAAAATACAACTATTACAAATTACAAAGCAATTTCTTGTATATTTTGTATCAATAAAAAAAAGATGATGTGTATTTCAATGAAGCAGTAGCACAACAGAACAAAAACCAGAATAGACATTTAAATGTCAACTCACAGTCTTGCTGTTCAGCATTATTTGGGTCTGTATGACCTACTTGTAATGCTTGATTTACTGTTTGTTACATTATGGTTTTATTTTGGAGAGTTTCATTTTCAATTTTATGTGTCTGTGTCTAAAGAAACAGTGACTTTATACACAAGCACAAGTATTTTTAACATATAATGCAGATGCAAAGCAATTGGTAACAACAAACCTGAAAGGGACCAATAAAGAAAAGGCAATGTTTTAGAAATGAAATAGATACAAATGATTGATATCTATGAATGACTGTCGTTTATTTCTTCACATCACATGCCTTTTATATTTGTCAAATTTGTGCTAAATTTCATTTATGCCAGTTTTTATGGACTGCAGATACTGTTTAAATTTGTTTTTATTTACACAGTATGGTTTTCCAGCAACTGGTGGAGTTCAACATATACCCCCTGGATGGGACTGGTGGAATGGACTTGTAAGTAACTGAGACAAACATGTGCTTGTATAACGTTGCAGATAGTCATAATTTCCTTTCTAACAAAACAATTTAATACTATATTGACTATATATTGATATATTATTTTGGTATGTTGTAATTTATCATTTTATTTATTATTGAGGATTTCATTTATTGAAAAAAAATTAAAAAAGGATCTCTACAATAGAACCAATAGCCTTTTTATGCCCCTGTGACAAAATGTTAGGGGCATACTGTTTTTCTTTTGTCTGTCAGTCCATCCATCTGTCCAATATAGGATACAAGTTTTATTCCAATTAAGTCCTATAGTTTTCAACCTAGAAATTTTTTATTATGCAGGATGATTGTTTATATACTAAAGGTGTGCATATGGTCGCTAACACATATTGCGTGTAGTGCAATAAATACTTTAAAAAAATCCACACTAGGGTCTCTATTAGTAGACAATGATCATAATCATTGGGGAGCATGTGTCTTTCAGATGCAACCATTTCAAGTTGTACTTAAAGGTAAATGTAATGGTTGGTGAACTATATGCATACATGAAGCAGGTGCATTGTCTTAATAATTCATTTCTGCAATGCTGAATTGTCTTAACTTATATTTTGTTTTGATTTATTTCCCTAAGGGGATTATAACTGATCATAACTGGATCTTTGGCATACTTCCATTTCCTCAGAAGTGTTAATTCCACCCTGCTTATTGGTCACTGATTATCAATTGGATGGAATTAAGACTACTATTATTAGAAGCCTTTTGTGACCTAATAATAGTAGTCTTAATTCCATCCAATTGATAATCAGAAAATGTTTTGTTCAAAAACTTTCATATTTGACAATATTGTGTGTCATGATTTACTATTTTTTTTTACTTTGAGTTATGGTACTTTAACTCTTTATATTTACAATGAGTTATGGTACTTTAACTCTTTATATTTACAATAAGAATGCAAAAACACCTTGTGAACACAACTCTTCTTTGACCATTTGACAGAAAGCTTTCAGACTTGGTAGAATTGTTTTCCATCATGTTTAGCTGACACTATTATACCGGCATTTTGATTTGATTTTTTTGTGGGAGTAACGTAACTTTGACCACTTTTTTTAACCTTTGTAGCAAACTGACTCCTCTGAGACCATTTTTAAGAAAGAAATCTTTCAAAATTAATGTGGTAGACTTGTTTGTCTTCATGTGTAGTTGACCATACTTTACTGTCATTTTGATTTGATTTTACATTTTCTGCTGGAATTATGGGACTTTGACTATCTTTGCCTGTTGCAGCATACTCACATCTTGTGACTGTAATCCACAGTATAAAATGGGGGGAGGTATTTCACTATGGCATAGCAATTATGTTACCTTATACATAAATGTATGTCAATTTGTCCAATTTATTCCTGGTACACAGTAATCTTGAAGTTGAGACATTTCCTTATATATAATGTGATTCAATTTGCGGGGTACTATATCAAGTATATTTTACAAAATTTAAGAAGCCTGTAGAGCTTTCATTAAATGGGCTTATCTCTGAAAATTCAATTCTTTGCAGACATTTAACACCTATAGTTTTAGCATCTTTGTTCTATGGTCCTTTGCACTTGAAAACAGAGCAAATAGTTCAGTCAATTCATGAAATAGCAACATGTCTAATATCACAACAGAAAGATTAATTGTTTACAATCATATTTGTGTTCCTCACATTGAGGCTCGATAGGCATATGACCCATCTGCTTAAAATATCTTACAGGAGTAGGTACTTGATCTGCTATTTATATTCATACTGTGAAAATAGACATATCTTTTTTCAGGTTGGAAATTCCAGATATTATAATTACCATTTATCAGTAAACGGTACAAAGGAAGCTCATGGAAGTGACCCAGATAAAGACTATCTCACAGACTTGATAGTAAGATATTCAATTAAACACAGATCTATATATTTTATAGATTTTAAAAGATTTAAAGAAACTTTTGGCAATCAATAAAATCAGGATTTTTAAGGTAAACTATGCACAATTTTAGATGTAAAGGGCTGCCAAGATTATTCATGTTCCCTGATTTGAATCAAATTTTCACATTTTGTGTGTATTTTAGACTAGACTCCATCTATTTAACCATTGAGATGACCTCCGAAGAATGCTCTTGACCTTTGACTCAATATAGATTTAAATTTAATTCAAAGACAAGAATGTTCAATTGTTTAATTACCATGTTTCTAGGTCTGTCTGACTTCATGTCATAGATTTGAAAATAGGTAAATCATCATTTTTACCTGTACAAGAAGGGTTGATTCAGTCAGTGAATGGGTTCTTTGTGGTGGCTACCTTGTTTCACTTTTCAATTTTGACATTCTTTTCTTTTTAAAAACTTAAAGGGGCATTAGCTGTCAAATTCATGTTCACTGATTTGACTCAAATTCTCATATTTGATTTATAACATACCGGTACTAAAACATACATCCAAGTTATAAAAAGTCTAAAATAAACAATTTACAATGCATTGGCTCGATAATATGTATCAGCATTTCCTGTATATTCTAGTCTAGACGCCATCTAATTAACCATCGAGGTGACCTCCAAAGACTGCTGATGCTCATGTAAACATAAATATAGATATAAATAGATAGCAAACACGTGCAATTGGATTTTTCTAGGTCTGTTTGATTTAATATTATAGGTTACAAATATATGTTAATAAGCATTTTTACCTATATAAGAATGAGTTTTTGTGGATCGAATCAGTCAATCAAATGGTTTACCCTTGTTTCATTTTCAATGTTGACGTTCTTCTCCTTTTAATAACTGGGCACGTCTAATTCATGTGTAACCCAACTAGCTTAGGGATTAAATTGAAGGTCGCATGAATATGGATTCAATGAGTTCGAATTATTCACTTGCAAGTGAATAATTTATCAACGATGTTTCTTCCTTTATTTTGACAAAATTGAACCAAACTGGCCAGTAAAAGGGAATTATAATTTCACTATTTTACTTTCATTAAAGATTGAACAAAAAAAATCATATTTTATTTTGTTTTATATCTTGTAGCTAATGCCCCTTTAACATGCTTCTCCAGCTAAGGGTCAAATTGAAGGTTTCATGAATACGGATTCAAATGAGATTTAACGTCAGCCAATTATACATCAGCAATGTTTTTGTGTTCATTTTGACAAAATTAAATGAAACTGACTGCTGATAGGGAAATATTTTATCAAAATTCTGTTTTTCTATATGTTTAAAACAAACAAAAATCATATTCTAACTTTTTGTCTAAATTGTAGGTAATACAAGGATGTTTAATGATACATGTATTCTATTAAGGGTTCATTTTGTAAGATGTATTTATTTCTGCATTCTAAAAAAAGACTTTCAGTTTGCTAGGCATATGTAACAAGCAGTATAAAAATAAGAGATGCATGATATTGCCAATTAGGCAAATAACCACTCAAGAAAACAGACCAAGAGATAAGGATGTACACCAATACATAGTATTTTTTTCTGCTTGCCAGATACAAACCAATTGTGCTTTTTTATCACTTATCATTTGAAATCTGTTCTCTGTCTTAAAAATGTTTTTTAAATCCTCTTCTATTAAAAAAACCAATAAAGATAAAAAAAAAATCACAAAAAGCATAAGACATATATGTCTGTAGTCCTTGACATCATTTTCATGATTAAGAGACTACATATGATTTTCCTATGTTGCAAGGTCTCAATAGTCAACTATATTTTGTCTGTGGAAAGAATGTTAAGTGGGCATGACCATGTGGCATGGTTCGTTTTACTTTGACTTCAATCTCATGGGTTATTGGTCATTGTTAAATTTTGTTAGTCAGGTTCATTTGTCAGAAACAATGAATAGTACTACAACTATATAGGTAGTGTATGGAATGATTGATAGGTGTTCACGTCTGTCTGATATGGTTAATTTTGTCCTTGACCTTATTTTCATGGTTCATTGGTGAATGTAAAGTCTTCAATGGTTAGATCCATTTCTCAGATGCTATAAGCAATAAATAAACTATATTTGGTGTAAAGAATGATTGTAAGGTGTTATGTCTGTCCAGCAGGATTCACATAACCTTGAACTCATTTACATGGTTCATGTATTGGTAAATTTATTTTTTTTGTAGTTATGTTCATTTCTCTTATTCAGTATTTATATTTATAGTAATAGCCGAAAGACATGTACATCTCACAATCATTCCATACACCAAATAGAGTTGACTTATATTTGTTGTATTTACTGATTGTAAGATGAATATGTCTGTCTGTCAGGGTCTATGTGACCTTCACCTGATTTTATGGTTTGTTGGAAAATATCAAGTTTTCCAAAATGTTTTATTTTGGTGTATTTAATTTTGTCACTTTCATATCCCAATTAACGGTATTTGATATTTGGAATAATTGTAAGGTGTACATGTCTGTCTGGCATGGTTCATTTGACCTTGACCTTATTTTAATGGTTTATTGGTTAAGGGTAAGTTTTCCTGATTAGGTCGATTTCCCAGATACTATTAGAAGGCAAACTATATTTGGTGTATGGAATGATTGGAAGGTGTATATATGTTCATCTGGTAGCGTTCATCTGACCTTGACCTCATTTTCATATTTCATTGGTCAATACTAAGTTCAAGATTATGTCCTTTGCTCGGATGCTTTAAGCAGAAGGTAAACCATATATAGTGTATGAAATGATTGTAAGGTGTACATGTCTGTTTGGCAGGGTTCTTCTGACCTTAATTCCATGTTTATGGTTTATTGGTCAAAGTAAAGCTCTGGTTGTCAGGTGAATTTTTAAATCTGTTAAGTAGCTTGAAGAAGATATATCCATAAGACTTTGGGGCCTTTTATAGCTGACACTATGCGGTATGGGTTTTGCTTATTGTTGAAGGCCATACGGTGACCTATAGTTGTTAACTTCTGTGTCATTTGTTCTCTGGTGGAGAGTTGTGTCATTGGCAATCATACCACATCTTCTGATTTTAATATGATAGATTAATCATGTTTTATCTGAATTCATTAAATATAGATGAACTGTGCACTAGACAGATTTTAACTTGATCAATGAGTTGACTTAAGTTTAAGAGTTGTTTTGCCAGTGAAAAATATTAAAATAAATTGAAGTAGCAGACACATTTTTTGTGTCAGCTTTTGCGTCATTCATGATACCAAAGTTCATAATAACTAAAAGTCAAAAACATACATTTTTCAGTTTAATTTTTAAATCCACATGATAAATCAGTTTAAACATGTACAAATAAAACATATAGGTTATAAGATATTTGTAATGATTTAAAAACTTAATTTAAAATTGGGTAAATGTGGCATTCTGAAATATGAAAAATGTTATACTATTTCAAATTCAGAAATTATTTTGTTGTTGCAAAAATTGTGATAGGGGATGCTTTGCAAAAACTAGAAACTCATATTTAAAGTTAATGTAGCATAACTTCGCTTGAAAGCAGCAATTTCTGAAATTGTAAAAAAATAATCTCACATATTTGTACAGTGTTAAACAATTGCAATAATAGACAATTTCTGAATTTGCTGTATTTAAAAAAATTCTAGTTTATTTAAATCAATGTAACTAAGGTGTTTTTTTTTATATTTTTCTTTAAAAAACAAAAATTATATTGAAACAGTATATATAATGTTACTAGAAGATGCATCAGAAACAAATGGGTAATGTTAACCTGACTTTCCTCAACAATTCAAGTGCACACCAGTGGGAAAATATGAATAAATTGTATGTCAGCTTATCGGCAACGTCATGATTTGTTGGGGCTGTTCTCATCATACTCCCACATTGTATGCTTTTTATGAATGAATTACCCGAGGTCAGTCGGTGTAAATGACATCATTGTACGATGATGTAAGAATATAAACAATCTACAGGAAAATGCACGGATGTGAAACTGAAAGTCATCAAAACACGGAAACATAAGCAAACCATGATAAAAATTTGTTGAAAGCCAATTTTCTTCAATAAAAGTAAGATAATCATTTAACGTCCTCAGAACCTGTCTAAGTATGTTATTGTAAATCATTTCAGCATGTTACTTATTCAATATTCTTTGTCTTTTATGTCAATATTAATTGTCTGTAATAACGGGAACAGCAAATATTTGCCTTCACCTAGAGCACTTTGATTCAAAAGAATTGTCGTATTTGTCCTATTAGAATAGAAAGTCATGAAGGCTTGAATTCATACTGATTTTACCATGGGTTTGCCCTTTATGCCGATATTTTACACCTCGTTATTGCTCGTGGTAAAATATTAAGCATAAATGGCCAACCTGTGGTAAAATCAGTACAAATTCAAGCCCCCATGAATTATTTCTTAAATAAGACAGTTATCCACTAAAGACCAAAGGACAAAGATGTAAATACAGCTTTCAAAGATGTGCAAAACCCATTCCATATAGTAAGCTATATAAAAAGCCTTGGGATACCAAAATGGAAACAATTCAATAGAAAAAACCAACAGCCTTATTTAAGCTAATAATAAACAATTGTTTTAGACAGCAACCACTGACAACCACTAGACTTGAGGCTTAAAAAGATGTAACAGGTTTAAACATTATAAAGATAAAGAGATGTGGTATGAAAAGTCTGATTTATACTATTAAAAACAACAAACTTAAAGAAAATCATTATGGTAGACAACAACCAATGATATTTACTAGATTGCAGGCTCCAGGCTTGGGAAATACAATTAAAGAATAAGGCATGGTTAAAAATAGTATGAGTGCTTAACCCTCCCCTAACCTGGGACAGTAGTTTAAAGCACAACAAAAGAAACTGTAAAAATCAATTTGAAAAGGCTTGACTAATCACACTGGTACTTAGCACAAAAATCAAACATGCACACAAATGACTTAGTAAGGATCTAAGATTAAGAATAC